TTCACTTGTCGTATAAGTTTATCGAAGTATGATAATATCTTATTGATTCAAAATAAATAATATTTTTTAAGTATAACTCTCGCTTTTTTTTCTCTGATTAGCAGGAAGTACAATATACTATAAGAAAAAATATTGGAATAATTTTTCTTAGCTGTTAAAATTTGACATAAGTGCATTCTAGTCTTTCCAACGATAAATAATATTTTTTAATTCTCGTTTTTTCCTCTGACTAGTATAAGATTTAAGGAATTGAGATATTTTTTTGTCAGCTGTTGAAATTTGACATAAGTGCATTCTAGTCTTTCCAACGATAAATAATATTTTTTAATTCTCGTTTTTTTTTTCTCTGACTAGTATAAGATTGAAGGAATTGAGATATTTTTTTGTCAGCTGTTGAAATTTGACATAAGTGCATTCTAGTCTTTCCAACGATGAGAATTTGACGGTTCGACGGTCCTGCGAAATAAACACAGTTCAATCACCTTGATATTTGTTTGGACGATTTGTTCTTGGTATGTAAATGACGCGAATAGCTCGGAAATAGCGATGCAAATAGTGCCCATTCATTGGTTTACGCTCATGCTATTTGAGGAGAGAAAAAGAAGAGAGAAACTGGCGTAGAAAGTGTGCAGGTAAAAAGAAGAGATCTTCTATCTCTTCTTTTCTCGGAGAAGTATTCGCCAACAGTATTTGCGAACGTAATGATCGAGAATCCTATCCTCATTCTACACCCTGAAATTCGTAAACAACTTGTCAATATGTCGCCACCGGTACAAAGTCGTCCCTGCATTTCCACTTTAAGATGCGAGAGAGATCTCTTAATTATTTTTATTTAAATTATTTTTATTATTATTCTTTTTATTACCGAAGAAATTCTTAAAAATACATGTATTATTACGAAACTTAAATTTGAGTTAACTTTCTCAGCAGTTCTTTAAATAATATAATAGGATACTCCCAAAAGTCTTAAAAATCTGATATTCTCAGGGATTTTTATTCTATCTTAAAAAATCAGGGGATTCTCATGGAATTTTATTTTATGAAATTTTTTTTTAAAAATTGATTGTTTTGAAAACTTTATTTTTATATAAATATTTACGTTAATTTTAATAGCTTTAATTTTGAAATTCTGAAGAAAACTGTGTTTTTAATAGTTTAAGAACTTAAGAGAAATCTATTCTTTTGCAATATTTAAATTTTGAAAACTTATTTTATTGATTTTATTTTTTTATCAATATCCCTTGCATTAGTTTTATATCCTTGGTATTATTTTTTATTAAAAATCTAAATATAAAGATGAAATTTTTTAAGTTTAAAATATTAAAACATTTTATTTATATTAAAAATCACAATAATCTTGTATTTAAAACAATTGTATTTGTATTATATATAAATACTTTAATCATAGAACTTTGAACAAAAATAGTTGGGAAAATTATGGAATCATCATAAAATTTATTGACACGATAATTTGAATATACACGCTGTATTAACCCTTTAACTACCGTCTATTTGCAATTATTTATTTTATTAACTACTTAATAAAATAAAATAAATAATCGGTGTAGACTCGAGATAACACAATGTTAATAGAACCAATGAAATTGTCAATAAGTGACACATCTTAAAATCTATATCTTATTTGTAGTTAAAGGGTTAAACTATCATAGAGTGAATTCTCCGATTATAATTACTTTCAAATATTTTGTTGAATACATTATCGAATATTTAATATACAAATTATCGAATATTATTTAATATATAAATTATTTAATATATTTATTATTTAATATATATTATTTAATATATATTATTTAATATATATTTATTTAATATATACATATTTTTCTCAAAATATATTTTCTAATATATTCTTTTTTTTAATGTTACGTGTTTTATTGTGGGTTTAATTTGAAAGAAACGGGAACAGAGGAAGGAGAGGAGACACACGCCTCTTTGTACAGACGAGCACCTAATAGTGTCTCGTCTTAACTCTCGTTAAGATGTATTTCTCGTAAGAATTGTGCCTATAGAACAACTTGCAGGTAGTGACACCTTTTCTTATGGAAATGGTTCTTGAGCCAAGGTCTCTGAGATCACCGGTTTTTTTAATTGCAATGTAGTGAAGATTTTAGATCGATATAGGTATCGAAAACAGAATTTTCAACGAAATTTTCGTCTTTGAAAATTGAACATTTGCCAAGAATCTGTCCTGGATCAGACAGAAACTCTATCATTTATGTACATTTTTCACATTTACGGGGCGGGTTATAAAGGTTGCAATGTCACATTTATAAAATAAATTTGAACTTACAACGATAACAAGTTTTTACCGTGATTTCATCTGAATAAAATTCCTTATTAGTTAAAAAAAGATTTGAAAAACATTTTTTTTTTCTGTGGATTGTTCGTACATTTTAATAAATTATGTTTTGTTTACCAAACTATTCTTTTTCTTATTTTGAGAATTTGTAAAAAATTAAAATTATTTGATCAAAGAAATATATCATCGCGAATAAAATAGAATGCAATAGCCTCCAATATTTGCATTCATCTTCTTTTCTGGATTTTATGTGTGCATTAATAGTTTTCTTTTAATTAATAAATATCTTTTTTGCATAATATTATTTTTTAATTGCAGATTTCTGTCTTAAAAAAAGAATATTGAATAGTAAATATTATCTATAACTTTTTTTTAATATTTAATATTAAATACAAATTTTATAATCATTATTAAATGTGTGAATAAATTATATCTATCTTAAATGAATGTAATAGAAATTAATAAATATATACATATTTTTTTTATTAACATGATTTTGAAAAAGTAAAATTTGCATATACTTAATAGTAAGATTTGTTACTTTCATTTTAGAAATAAATTCATGGGAAATTTTTTATCTTACGCAATCGAATTTTCTTCATTTATGACTATTGATTGTGCTTAATACTTAGTTAATATTCCGAACAACTTTTTCTTATCAAGGAAAAATTTCTTACGTCAATGCAATGTATTTTTTTTATTATAATTAATCATTCATTTTATGATAACTAATTCATTTTAATAATTTTTTTATTTTTTATTATTTTTTTATTATATAATTAATTTATTTTATGATAATTAATCATTCCAAGTAAAATTACTATATTTCAAGTAATTAAGGATTTAAAAAAAAGGTTAAAAATTAAAAAAAAAATGTCCGAGAAGAAATCATTAAGTTTTAAAATAGCGAGAAATCCACATGATACACTTTGTGTATTTCTATAGACTTTGGCTTCGGCGAAAACGTATTAAGAATTTACGGCTTCAAGACCATTTGTATATCTCGCGAGAATCTCGCGGAATATATAATTGGCCGTGGGAAGAGATGAAAATAAATGAATCCACGTGATTTTACCACATCACGTAATAACAATATTTCATCGGTACCGTGCGAGTGGAGCTTTATTAACTGCTGCCTTCTTTTCGAAGGCACATTTACCACATTATATGCTGACGTACGCACACGATAAGCCACACTCGATTAACGGGCACTGTCAAAATCTGACTCATCGCGAGAGAGCCATGCCAACTAATTTTGCCACGAACTTTCGCTCAAATCAATTCCAGTACCGTTATCCTAGTCGGTTCACGATCCTTAATGCCGTTTGTAATTACATCCTGAGGATTAAAGAGTAGATAGAGAGATACTTGAACATATTATTCGTTTAAACATATTATACTTGGAATTTTGAAAGACACCGAATTCCCAAGAATTCCGATAATAATGAGCATTTAATTAAAAATCGAATATGAATATGACTTTAATAGAAATATATATTCCTAAGAAAAACCTAGAAAACTTGGAATTCTCTTTTTGTTCTACTTTGAAAAAGCAGAGATTCTCATAAAATTTTATTGAGTTTCAGGAATTTTTTTGAGAAATTCATAGTTTTGATAATTTTGTTTTTATGTAAACATTAATAATAATTTTAATTTTTGAAATTCTGAAGATTATATTTTTAATAGCTTAAAAACTTAAGAAATTCTCTTGCAATATTTAATTTTAAAATCTTATAGATAATTTTTTTTTTTTTGAAAATTTATTAATTTTATTTTTTATATTATTTTACAAATATTGTAATTTTATAAATATTTTAAAATATTGTTCTTAAAAAATTATATTTAAATAACAACCTGTATATGCACAATACTTCCTGATAATTTATAATATTTCTAGGATTTAGATAGTACTATCCAAATTTTGATTATTCAGCCATCATTTAGACATCAGATATTAGTATTTTAAAGTCTATTTTATTTAATATTTTTTTTTATTTAAAATATATTAAAATAAATTTTACTTATGCTAAAAAATCCTGCACAATAAATTTATTTTAAAATTGTAATATCTAAGAATACTTGAATTCTACCTGGAATTTTGACCAAAAATATTTAGAAAATCATGAAATCCTCAGAGTTTATTTACAAAATTTAAATATATAGTCTGATACTCATACACTGATACAAGCGATTATTTATTTCTTAAATTTAGTCGAAATATATATGTTTATATTGAAGTATATATATATTATATATATATATATATATATATATATATATATAATATGTTTTTTTACACATTTTTTCTAATGCTTTCAATGCTCAGATCTGCTATAATCTTTTTAATATTCATTATATTAATGTGATTTTAATTAAGCTTTTTTGAATTGAATCTAAATATGAGAGTATTGCACCAAAAATTGTCGAAATAGTCTCTTCATTGCTGTGGGAAATCTAAATCATTAACGCAAACAAGTTAAAATAAATTATATTAGAAATATTTAAATAATTAATTAATAATTAATATTTAATAATTAATATTTAATATTTAATATTTAAAGAAATATTTAATAATTAATATTTAATATTTAAAGAAATATTTAATAATTAATATTAGAAATTTATTTACGATGTTAGGAAATCAACCTTGGCTGATATATGCTCTTGTTTGTTCCAGACGGTGCAGCATGGTTTTCCGAACAAGCCAACCGCTCTCGCCTGGGATCCGAGTCTGCGGGTGATGATCATCGGCACGGCATCCGGCGCCATCAAAGTGTATCCTTTTGTTTTTCTTGCTCCTTGCCTTCGCGTCTACCCTCGCTTCCTTCGCGTACTTTGTTTTCGTATATATATATATATATATATATATATATATATATATATATATATATATATTATAATCTGATCTGGAGGGAGGGGGGCGACTACGCTATAGCTCGAAGGTTTGTATTAAAATCTATTTCAAAATCCTTCACTTCTTAAAAAGAAGATAAGTTTAAAAGTTTAATACGAAAAGTTTTAAATGTGCAAATATATAGGATGTTTCTTAATAAATGCGAAAAATTTTAGGAGATGATTCTTTGTCGAAAATTAAGAGGGGGGGAGGTTCATATAAACATATACTTCTACATTTCTCTTTGTGGAGTTACATTCCACAGAGAGAAAAATGAGGGTAAAAATTAGGTTTTTATTTTTTTAGATTTTTACGTTTTTATTATAATTTTATTTATGCACGATAACGTATTTTATTTATATTGTTTTTCTTGAAAACTGATTTTATGAAGAAAATAAAAGAGATAAAAAAGTTTCTAAATAAATCAAACTTTTTAATGCGTATTTTTAGATGATCACATTCCGGCTCATTAAAAAGTTCTAATAAAAAATTGAATAGGGGTTGCTAGTTTCATCCCCTTATAACAATATGGGAGGCTGAAGAAAATATTAATAAATAACCTTTTTACTAGTAGAAAATATCCACCTAATTTCATTTCTTTAACTTGTTCCAAATTTGAGAAAAAAATAAAAACCTAATTTTCACCTCCATTTTTGGAGGAGTGTAACTCCACAGGGAGAGATGTAGAAGTATATGTTTGAAAAACCCTCCTTAATTTTCGACAAAGAATTATCTCCTAAAATTGTTCACACTTATTAAGAAACACCCTGTATATTATATCGATATAAAAAATTATCGTGATGTCAAAAAATTCGTTCAACTTTTGATATTTTTTATGACTCATTTTATCATCACGGTAAGAAAACCGTTTCGTAACGAGAATGATTGCTTAACAAAGACTATAAATCAGTTGTGATTTATTTTATAAACTCGCACTCTGGTGGTATTATTTCAATGTAATTGTTCTTAATTGAAGAGGAAGGATTCGATATAAGTACAATCTTTCAAACGTTTTTAACAAAACTTTTGAAAGAGGGTCAATCTAAATTTACATTTTTTAATTTTAACTTTGTCAAATTCCTGCAAAATATTGAATTAAATTATTAAAATTATTTTAAAATTGTCGGATTGAATTATTCAATTAAGAATGAACGCATTTGCATAATGCAAGATTCGAAATATCGATTATTTTCAAAGATATCTGTTTACTGTACCATTTGATTGAAATGTTCTTCATTTGCGAAGGATTGCTGACCAGTTTTATTTTACATATTTTGCTTATTTTAGGAAAACAATATTTCATAATTGTTTTAACAAAGTCATCAATCGTACAATTGACGAAAAATTGAGGCTTCGGTTGATTAAGAAAAACGTCAGCATGAATTGTATTTTGTAACACTTTGGAGCTCTTGTTTCCCGACCTTGTACGTATTGTTGCCACTTACCTAATCCATACAGAGATTATCGACCCAACAAAAAGCCCATTTGCAATATTAACCGGAAATTATTGTCGAGCCACACCGTAGTTTAAATTTGCATCTTTCCGATATATGAAAATAAATATAAATATGAGAGTAAATATCCAAACGTAAATATAAGTTTCGTTTATCTGAATATCGTTTATCTGAAAACTTATCGTATCGAGTAACAATCTTTTTCAGGATCTTAGAGAGGAAAGTATCCGATTTTCGTAAATAATCTCGCGCTAAATTTAGATCAGTTTCTAATTTTTCTCGATTGGTTTTTTTTTTTTTTTTTTTTTGTTCAGATAGGAAATTATATTTTAACAAAATTTTTAAAATAAAAGCAAATATATATTTATTTATAATATATAATATGTGTGAATAATTTACAAGCTCTTTCTTTTGTGCAATAATAATTTTTTTTCGATAATTTACTATAGGATATAAATTTTTATTTTTAGAAAAATAATTTGTAAGATTTATGTGTGTATTGATATAAAACTATGAAAAATATAAACTGTAATAATTTAATAATTATATAAAAATATAATTATTATATAAAAATTAATAATTACATAAAAATATAAATTATAATAATTAATAATTTAATAAAAAGCATTTTAGTAAAAACGAATTATTAGAAGAATGTGCGGCTTGAAAATTATTTTATCGATTCAGAGGAAGAGAGAGAGAAAAGTTCACACGTTTGCCTGGTTTTGTGAATGTTTAAGCGGATTGTTAGATGTATCGAAGTGTAATCGACACGTCAGCGAACCTCGGAATTTAACGTCTGTTTAATATTGTGCATGCACAGTCGGCAGATGCTTCCAAGGACTATGTAATCGCCAGATAATCGTTATTATTTCGCAATAGATATACGTATACGCGATTATCTCTCTGCATGGCACACCTCACGTCGAGAAACTTACGGGTACGCACGACTGCGATACGCAATATCGCGTTTTAATCCGACGTACAAACGCACACGTTATACTTGAATCTAATCGCGAGCCCCTTAGATCTTTTTCGTAGCTTGGACAATGATACTTTATCTATTTTCCGTTTTTAAACACGTCGATTTTCTTTCGAACCAGCAGTCTACAAACGCTATGTAACTAAAATGAACCAAAATGGACTACAATGTATTTAAGGATGTATTGGAGATATATTACAATCAATGAGATCGCCGTGAATTTTGAATTTAACATTCTTAATAACATTCTAAATCGTCATGAATTATTTCCAATTTTTTTACTTGCTCCATTAAAAGTTATTAATTTTTTAATTTTGCGATTTTAACATAGGATCTTATGTAAATGTTCAAGAGACAGGTAATAAATTATTCAAAAACTATAAAAAAACAATGATAAAAATTTCATTTTGTAATATTATATTTTTCATACATGTAAAAATGTTCCCACAAAGTTTTAAAACGATTTACTTGCTCACTTTGAAATTATTATTAAAAAATAACTGTGATTATCGATTTGACGCAATATTGATAATAAAACGTGGCAACATTTTCTTGGAAATTAAGACCTATTTATATTAAAAATATACTTTGAAGTATGATTTCGTGATTTTTAAAAAATTTTTGATCAATTAGAATTCGTATTCTGCCATTCGTATTTCTTCCAACTTTAATTTTTTGATACTTTGTATTAACTTTTGAGATAGACAAGATCCGTCCAATACATCCTTAAAAAAATGTAGACTAAAATGTATTAAAAAAAGACTAGCGTGAAATTGTTTTAATTTAAAGCGTCTTAGAGTAAAAATGGGCAAGTTTTATTTGTAAGTTATATCACCGCGACCGCAGAAAATATTGATCAAAAATAAAAAGTAGGTGACTTGGTATAACATGAGTAAAATGCAGCGCGATGTTAAAGTGTTAAATTCAGCAACGAAAATTTTCTTATTTGATTAAAAAATACACTTAAAAAATTGGAATTAGAAAAATAATTTAATTAATAATATTTTATTAGAAATATAAATTTATTATATTCATTCTAATTTAAATCGTGTATTTTTTAATTTGAATATAAATATGTGTGGAAAGAAATTATAAGTGGACGGTATTATGCAAAAATTAATTAATTTGCTAATGAAGACTTGTGAGTGAGCTTGGAATGAAAGGATTTAATGAACGAAAGAATGGTCTAATTATTTTTCTTGTTTAAAAACTATTAAGAAACTTAATTTTCTCTCAATTAAAAAAAATCCTCTTTATTTTCTTTAAAAAACAAATATAATTGTTATCGAAGAGAGGATTAAACTCTTCAAGAAAATTGATTTTAAAGATGAAAAAATAAAACTCAAATAAGTTTTCTTCTAAAGTTATTTAAAATAATTTGCAAGTGTCTTATCATCATCAATCTGATAATGTAACTTTGTCGCATTCGTTGCGAAATGTGCAAAGTATACAACTTACATGTATTCAGCAACTACACATTTTTTCAAATATAACATTAACTGTGTCAGCACATAAAATTAATCATCCCTAAAGTTCAAAGTTCAAGTTTCGTCGAGTTTTCTGCGTCAGCATTTTACGTCATGTTTATGTAATGTTATATAATCTTTTGTTTTTTTAATTTCCTTAAACTTTCAACCAATCCACTTAGTTTTGGAAGACCAGGTGTAGAATTTTACGGACAACATTCTGTCGAAAGTGGTGAGAATGCCGTCACGAAGATCATCCCACTACCAAAAGAGGTGAGATAATTAATGTATGATTGCATTATTATTCTAAACTTTAGAGTACTCGTAATAAATATTTATTCTGTAGTAAGTTATGCATGTGGTTTTTCTGTCACAAGTTCCATAAGAGAGAAACATAATTATGAAAGTAGTATCCAAAATGTGTGTGATGTGATGCACGATTTTTGGTTTTATCCGAAAATAATTGAAGGTAAAAAATTTCAAAATCACATTATATATATTTTATACTTAAGATATATTAATTATATCTATCAATTTAATGTCTTTCAAAACAGATTTTAATTAATTTTTGAAATTTTTATATCGCAATAATATAAAAATAAAAAAAATTAAAAAAAAATAAATAAAAATAAAAAAAAATAAATAGTATTATTCTTTCATTTATCTCGAATAATAAATAATTTAAGTGACTCGATTCGAAAAGTATTAATTATGATTAATGACAACAGACTCGTGTATGTTAATTAGTTTTCTCCAATCTACTTATTTATATTTATAATTCTATAATTTATAGAATTTTGTTTATATTTATTATCTTTATATTTATTATTTTGTTTACATTTATTATTTATATTTATTATATTTATATCTATAATTTATAGAATTTTATTTATATTTATAATTCTATAATTTATAGAATTTTGTTTTTACACTTATACATTTATTTTGTATGCCCGTGTGTGTCATCCAATTTACACAGAAAAGATAAAAGTGCTAGTTTTTGACAAATTCTCTGAGATTACACGCATCACACTAATAGTATAATGCGACACCGTGCTTCGCTTATACAGCAACCGTCTGATTGCATAATGACACCGTACAATGTGCCTGTGCACGCATGTATGGATAAGTAATACACGGGTGCAACGACATTACGACGCATCAAAATTAATGCTACGGCGTAAAATGCATGTGGCAATATACAGAGTGTCCCAAAAATCTCGGACTGGAATATTTCATAAACTATGCACTTTAAAAAGAAATGTTTCAGACAAAAGTTGTATGGCTTGAAGGGGGCCATCAGATAGTAGCAATGATTTGACATGGGAGAGTCATTTGAAAGTCACGTGAAGATCACCGTCAATTTCTTAAATGGAACCCCCTATTTTTTATTACATATTCGTGTAGCTTATCTCGAGAGCTTTCCAAAACACTATAATAAAGTATTTCTTCATTGAGTACTTTTCGGGTTATGAGGCTTGAGAAATCATTTCCATAAAATATCTAGTAAAATATTCATTTTTCGATTATCTTATCTTAATAATTTTATGTACAAAATAATGAGAGGAATTAATTGGTGTAAAGAAAACACATAATTGTTTTTAAAAAAAATATGTAATTGTTAATTGCAAATTACATATTTTTTTCTTAAAAACAACTATGTTTAAACGTATACATAAAATGTTACATAAAACGATTACATAAAAGGTTACATAAAATTATTAAGGTAAGATAATCGAAAAATGAATATTTTACAAGATATTTTACGGTTTATGTAAAATTAAGAAATGATTTCAAGCCTCATAACTCGAAAAGTACTTAATGACGAAATACTTTATTATAGTGTTTTGGAAAACTCTCGAGATAAGCTACACGAATATGTAATAAAAAATAGGGAGTTCCATTTAAGAAATTGACGGTGATCTTCACATGACTTTCAAATGACTCTCCCATGTCAAATCATTGTCACTATCTGATAGCCCCCTTCAAGCTATACAACTTTTGTCTGAAATATTTCTTTCTAAAGTGCATAGTTTATGAAATATTCGACCGGTTCGGGACTTTTGGGACATCCTGTATGAGAGAGAAAAAATTTGTGTATACATGCATCCCCAGATACTAATTATTTTTTTTATCTATATACAAATATTTGTCTGCAAACTTTTAAATGATGCTGACGTGACAAATAATGGACAGAGTTACACACACTAGAGTAGATTTATGTATAATTATACATAATTTTTCTTACAGGAGATATCAATTTTGGGTGATTTAATTCTAGCAAGATAAATTTAAATAGAAAACTCATAAGATTAATTGTGTTTTAATTGTAATTTTAGTGATACAAATATACGTATTTATATATATCTTTTTTTAGTAACTATAAAATATAATAATAATAATAAATAATAAAATTATTTGAATACATTTCTAGTGAAAAATATAGGTAAACAATTTGGTTTAAAATATGCTATAAAAATTAATTATATTTCTCAAAACATATATAAATATTGCAAGCAGTTATTAAAACATTTTTGTGGCTCTATAAATTCTCAAAAGTTGTCTAAAATTGACAATATATTTTTATTAGAAACATATGCGTCATTTTTCATATTATATATTTAAACCAGGTATGGTCTATTAATTGAATTGCGTCTATATGATTGCACAATGATACGAAGCACGATCCGTTATCTCGATAAGCAGTTTCAAACAAATCTTGAGACCGATAAGATAGGGGAGCCTGCTCTATAAAGATCTACCATTATAGTTTCCATTAAATTTTAAACTTATTGTTTCTCCCTTTCTGTTTTTTTTAATTAAAGTTTTACATATGTAATAGTCTTCATATATAGATTAATTTTTTTCAAAAACTTTTAAACATAAAAAGATAGATAATTTTTAAAAATAAGAAATAATCTCCAATCCAAGAAAACGTATTTGTTTCAGAAAAATCTATTATAACACGATTATAACACAGATTATAACACTTCATGAAGTCCTCGATAAGAGCAAGACATGTAAAATAATATTTATCTGAATAATATTTATCTGAAAACTGAAAAATAATATTCATTTACTAAAATTTAATTATGACATATATTTATAAATCAAAATCTTTTTTCGTAAATTTATTAGTTATTTTGTTAATCTTAATTTGACATTCAAATTGTTTGCCTTAAAAAACAATTTAATTTTTGTCACATATGATAGATAGTTTAATGTTAAACATAATAGAATAATCCATTTCCTTCGAATTACTTAACTTTTGATTATTATACTAAAATCTAGAAACCGAATAAATTTGATCAATCTCGCATTTTCCTTGAATTTTTATTTTATGCATTACAAACAATACTTTTTGATTAAAAAGAATAACATATTTATTTCATATATACTAATAATGATAAGAGAGATTATTAACAGCTATTAAAATTTACAAGTGCTATTATTTTTATTATTACACATGTGCACCGACTTTCTAAAACGATATGAAAACTGTTATTAAAACTTTCTACCGAATAAAATGTTAAGCAAAAAAATATATAATAAAAATGATACATAGGGAAAATTGAAAATATCTCTATAAAAAAAGGTATTTATTTATTCCAGAAAATCTCGCCTAAATAATCTTGCTCTTGACATTGTTTTCACTCATGTTTACACACGCTATTGTATTGATAATATTTTGTAAAATATAAAAATGTTTTTTTTTTAATAATATTTTATATATAATAATATATGTATATATATATATATATATATATATATATATATATATTATATATTTAATAATATTTTATAATCGATTTGGTATATATTGCAGGGTCGCCTCGTGTCTTTGTGCGATGATAATTCGCTACATTTATGGGAAATCAATGAATGTTCCATAGTGGAAACAAAGTCATTGTCGTTGGAGGGTAAATTGAAGAAGATCTCCGCGATATGCCTCGAATCCTGCGGGAAACATCTTTTATTGGGAACAGAGGGGGGTAACATCTATTTGCTAAACTATGAAACTTTCACCATGCCGGACAATATTATTTATCAAGATGTCGTGATGCAAAAGTAAGTGTTAAAAAGTGATATATATATATATATATATATATATATATATATATATATATCATTTTGATATTTGATGTGAATTATTTTATTTTAATAATTCAGAATTAAACATGCCAACACATAATTTTTGTCGAGCATTATAAAATTTATTATCGTGCAATTTTATTTAAGATAATTAAGATGATCAAATATTTAAGATATTTAAGATGATCAAAGTGAACGAAAATTGGAAATTGAAAATGCTTCACTTTGATTATCTTCGTTAAAAGTGATTTTAAAACTTAAGAGAAATTAAAATTATATTAATCAAAGAGAAAATATATTAAAATTATTTTTATACTTTAATATATATATATATATATATATATATATATATATATATTATATATATATATATGTATATATGTGTGTGTGTGTGTGTGTGTGTGTGTGTGTGTGTGTGTGTGTGTGTGTGTGTGTGTGTGTGTGTGTGTGTGTGTGTGTAAACATGTATTTATTAAAATTAATTTATTAAAATAATATTAATACAGTTTTTTATTAACATTTTTTAGATTCTTCTGAGTTTTGAAGTTATTTTTAGTATATATTCATTGAAGTGTAAATTATGTAAAACAAAAAAAAGTCACTCTATATAAAAATCATTAAGTTATTTTTATCACCTAGCGTTCCGGAAGACTACAAGAAAAATCCAGGGGCAGTTGAAGCCATAGCCGAGCAACCAGGACATCCAGACAATATTTTAATCGGTTACAATCGAGGCTTGATGGTGCTATGGAACAAAGCCACTCCGGGAGCTCAACAGGTAAGCGTTGTTATATGTTTTTAAACAGGATTACACTTTGGCAAATGCAACATTCACACGCTTACATGCTTCCCTCAATAAACACACTTCAATGGGTCAATGTTTAATCCTGCTAACCCGTTCGTTTCCGATCTACATTTGATTCAAGAGTTTAAGTGGATATTTATATTAATGTGGCTATTTTTGTTTTAATATGATATCACTTGGATATGAATTTATCTTCATATTTTATAAATTCATATATATATATTTCAAAGTGAAAAATTAACGAGTCCATAAAATTTAAAAATATTAGATTTAGGCTACAATTAAATCCTTGTTTTTAAACTTTACATTTTCAATGTATTCTTTTCTTGAATATGTTTCATATAAGAAAGATCTTAGAGATTTTATACAAGAAAAATCTTACTCTTTTAATTTTCAACAGAAATGAAAAGTAGGAATATGTCAAGTTTTAATTTAAAAACTTTTTTATCTTAAAACCAAAAAGTTTTATTGCCTCTTGAGAGACGAAAATTAATTAACGTGGAATCGAATGGGGAACAGCAGAGTTAAGAACGGATTGTGATATGGTATCGCTCGTTCTGATTGTCGTTTGTGTCTTTGGTGGTCTTTGGTGGAACGTGTACGCGCAGCTGATGGGTTTGTTTTCGCGTGCGCAGACATTCGTCTCCACGCAGCAGCTGGAATCGGTCCATTGGATCTCCGAGAATCGCTTTGTCTCATCGCACAACGACGGTTCATATGCATTCTGGAGCCCGGGCAGCGACGTGATGCCGGAGCCCACGACACTTTACGGCCCGTTCCCGTGCAAAGCCGTCACCAAGATCCTCGTATATCCCACCGCTGAGTAAGTCGCTCAACGATTGAATAATAAAATAATAAATAATTTAATAAACGATTAAATAATAAATAATAAAATAAAATAATCTCACTCATCTCTTCGCACCAGGCTGATTGAATTTTGCATTTTTTTTCCATAGACACGGCGACCTCTTCCTATTCTCCGGTGGTATGCAACGTGCCAGTCACGGGGACCGACACACAATTACTGTCATGACCAAGGATAAACACTTGGTTTTCGATTTCACGTCCAAAATCATCGACTTTTTCACCGTTTTCCCCGAAGGAGAAGACGGAGGAAATAATGAAAACCCTGTTGATCCGGAAGCGCTCATAGTGTTAGCCGAGGAAGAAGTGGTAGCCATCGATTTGACGAATCCTGAATGGAAGATGATGCCTCTGCCTTATTTAGTATCTCTTCATGCGAGTGCGGTGAGTATTTATTATAAGAGAAGAAACTTACAGAAGAGAAAAAGAAATTACTATTATTAATTATTTATAATTTATAATTTAATTATTGAATTATTAATAAATCAATAAATGAATAATAAATCAAATATATCAAATTTAATGAATTATTAATAATTTATTAATAATTTATAAATTAATCCTATCAAATTTAATTAATTATTAATAATTAATTAAATTTGATAGGATATTTAAGGATATTTACGAGCAACTTTCACATATCTTAGGTGACCTGTTCCCAACACGTGCCCAATGTGCCCGAAGAACTTTGGGAGGCGATCATAGCTGCAGGTAAAGCACAAACGGAGCATCTTTACTCGGACAAGGCGTGGCCCATCAACGGTGGGAATTTCCTCTGTTCCATAAATCTCAACAAGTCTAAGGGCAGAGAGCTATTGCTTACCGGGCACGAGGACGGTACTGTGAGATTTTGGAACGCTTCCGACGTTTCTCTGACTCCACTGTACAAATACAACTCGTCGATTTTGTTCACCGGCGAGCACCTGGACGTTCTCGAACAACCGCCGGAAGATGACGAGGACGAGTGGCCGCCGTTCAAGAAGGTGGGAATCTTCGATCCGTACTCTGACGATCCGCGACTCGCCGTCAAGAAGGTTGTTCTTTGTCCATTATCCTCGACCTTGGTGGTTGCCGGCACGGCCGGTCACATTATCGCCGCCACCATCTCTTCGGAGCCGGTCAACAAGGAAATAAAAGCCGTTACAATGAACATCGTCAACGATCGTGACGGATTCGTGTGGAAAGGTCACGATCATCTGCCGCCGAGAACGACAAGTATATCGTTCGCGGTTGGATTTCAACCACAGAGTCTTCTCCAGTTGTATCCACCAGCAGCCGTCACGGCATTAGCGTTGCACAGCGAATGGGGTTTGCTCGCCGCTGGTACCGCACACGGGCTCGCGGTCTTCGATTATACTAGAACAAAGCCCGTCAGTGTCAAGTGCACGCTTAATCCAAACGGTAAGTATTAAAGTAATACTTATGAAGCTAGACGTTTGTCTTGATCTTTTTTATCAAGTATATCATTACCGGGCAGGGTTGGCATGTTTTAAACAATGTGTTTAAAATGTGTTTGATTAAAACTTGTTTCAAACAGTGGACACTGTTTTAAGGATGTATTGGAGATATATTACAATCAATGAGATCGCCGTCAATGTTTAATTTAACATTCTTAATAACATTCTAAATCATCATGAATTATTTCAAATTTTTTTACTTGCTCCTTTAAAAGTTATTAATTTTTGAATTTTGCGATTTTAACATCTTAGGATCTTATGTAAACGTTCAAGAGACAGGTAATAAATTATTCACAAACTATAAAAGAACAATGATAAAATTTTCATTTTGTAATATTATATTCTTCATACGTGTAAAAATGTTCCCACAAAGTTTTAAAACGCTTTACTTGCTCGTTTTGAAATTATTATTAAAAAATAACTGTGATTATCGGTTTGACGCAATATTTATGATAAAACGTGGCAATATTTTCTTGGAAATTAAGACCTATTTATATTAAAGAATACTTTGAAGTATGATTTCGTTATTTTAAAAAAATTTTTGATCAATTAGAATTCGTATTCTGCCCAACTTTAATTTTTTGATATTTTGGATTAACTTTTGAGACAGACGATCCGTCCAATACATTCTTAAACATTTTTGTTTTAAACTGTTTTAAACTACTGAACCGTTTAAAATATCGCAAATAAAATATATGATTATTTGGAAAAAAAATTGTAAAAAAAATCAAAAACACAAAAACTAATAGATATGTATGTTGCAAAAAAGTTTTTGTTTCAGTGTTTTTAGTTTTTTATCTATATTTATGTAACATATAGATATAAAAATATAAATAATAAAATAAAAATGATGAGAGGAGTATTATTTTAGCAGAATATTTATTTTTGGATATTAAATAACAATCTATACAATGAAGATTACTTAGAAGATATTGACTGATTTTACATTTTACATTTTAGCATTTTAAATTAAGTAGTTCTAGAAAAAAGTTCTTCTTTTAAAAAGAAGAATTGAGGTTTTTTATTTTTCTTTTATAATTATTTATTTATAATTTATGTTGAGAGTTAAGCATGAGGTTACTTAATAAGAATAGGAAAGGAGCCAAAGTATTATATATTAAATATTATTAACTAGACCTTTTTTTTAGAACTACTGACCTGCTATGAGTTATGTACTTTTAATTTAAAATGATAAAGGTAAAATGTAAAGTCAGTCAATATCTTCTAAGTAATCTTTATTGTATTGATTGTTATTTAATATCCAAAAATAAATATTCTGCTAAAATAATACCCATCTTATCATTTTTATTTTGTTATTTATATTTTTAATAGCGTTGTCAATTTTGGCAACATTATTTACAGTTTAACACTAGCGAAAAATATTTAAATATTTACACAGAATAAAGCTATTAAGTGTTTTTTGCTCGTTTAAAACATGTTTTTTTTTACTTTACTTAAAAACAAAAATAAAACAAAAAACATTGTTCTAAACAAAAAAAACGTTTTTTGTTTAAAATAAAAAAAAAACAAATTTTTTGCCAACCCTGATATTGGGAATAAATATTAATCTTAATATTTTTACAGATCTTTCTGGTGCGGGTGACACTCCTATTTCTCGGCGAAAGTCATTCAAAAAGTCTCTTAGGGAGTCCTTCAGAAGATTGAGAAAAGGACGTTCGCAACGTCGAACGAACGCTAATAGTCCTACGCGAAATACAGTTATAGAAAAGAAGAAAGAAAGGTAAGGTTCAATCATGAAAGATCAGAATACGCAGAGAAAACAATATGTAACTGTTAAACTTTAGCACCAGCGTTACTTCTTCACCGAGCGGAGATTTATCGCCGGCGGTGGAATTAAAGCCAGTGGAGAGACAAGTGGAAGCGAGACCTGTTGACGATGCTCTAGGCTCTATGGTTCGATGCCTGTATTTTGCCCGAAGTTATATTATTAGCTGTTGGTATCTTTTTTTTTTTTGAAAAAATATAAAATCAACAACATTGATACAAAAATAAATATAATAAATAAAATAATTCGCACAGTGCAAAATACAACACCTACACTTTGGGCGGGCACTAACAACGGCACAGTTTACGTCTTCACGTTGGCTATACCAGCTGGTGCGAGAAGAACGGAAGAGGACGTCAACTGTACACTCGGTAAGGAGATACAATTGAAGCATCGTGCGCCTGTAATCGCGATCACGATCCTTGACGGATCCAGCGTGCCATTACCGGAATCCTACGAGGCGGAGAAGAACATGGTGCCTGCGCCCGATATGACTTCCCCACACAGAGTTGTAATCGCCAGCGAGGAACAGTTCAAGATCTTCAATCTTCCATCCCTGAAGCCGCACTGCAAATACAAGTTGACCGCTCACGAAGGGTCTAGAGTGCGAAAGACAGGATTCGCCAAGTTCTCGTGTCCTGTCGAGCCAGAGGGAATTCACGAAGAGACTTGCTTACTCTGCTTGACGAATCTTGGTGATTGTCTGGTGCTGAGTATACCAGAACTGAAGAGACAATTAAACGCCGCTGCGATTAAGAGAGAGGACATTAAGTGAGTGACTTTATTGTGTTTTAATCAACACACATGGTTTCTAACTAACGTGTATTTTTTCATCTTTCAGCGGTATTTCTTCCTTAATATTCACGAAAGCCGGAGAAGCGTTGTATCTTCATTCGAGTTCGGAACTCCAACGAATTTCACTGTCAGCTGGAAAAGTAACGAAGGCGCATTGCGTGCTCAATTTACCACCGCGCGCTAGGTCGTTGACAGAAAGGACAGAAAACGCTAACGAAGTCGCACAGGAACAAGGTGTCGTCGAGGGCGCGCCTGAAACCGAAGGAGAGACGCAAGAGAGTCAACCATCGAATCGAGTCATCACGGAAAATGGCATAGTGGGTGCCAGTGAGTATGCTGAGTCTAATCCCTGTACATCCCTTATAAATAATCGAAAAAATTTATATACAATATTTTTATACACACCGCAATAGAACATCTCACCAGCTTTTGTGTAAACGCAATTGCTAAGAAGCGTAACCCTGCTTGGCACACTTTGTATAACCACATCCGCATATATTTGTTTGTCCATGTTTTAAGTCTAATCATAATTGAATCATTGGTTGAATTTGCTATTTGTGTTAATTAACAAAATATTAGGGAATGTCGTTATTTGTGTAATAGTGCCATTTAGTGTCGATGTGAACGCATGTCTTTTAGCTGGGGAAGAAGAATCTCCGAAGGAACCATCGCTGCGAGCGGCCACGAGTAGTATAGACGTAAATGGAGAAGACGATCGTCAGGATTTAAGTTCTATCGGAGACATTACAATCGACAGTGTTAAAGATCATTTACTGTAAGTTCAGTTGATATCTTCCGATAGTTTATTTATCATTTGCTTATATGTGCGATAAAATATATTTTCTTTCCAATGAGTTTGATAGATTGCAAATTTTATATTACTTTATTACAGAGCTCGGCAAGAACTGCACATTTCGGCCGATTTTCAGCTGGCTTCGCCTAGCGCGTCCCCCCTTACCTCGCCGTCCCGCGCAAAGTCTACGAGCCGTTCGGCGCTCAGGAGCGGGCGTATGGCAATAGCTTTCCATGTCACCCATGAGGTACTATTATTGACGCGTCTTTTTTTAAGTGGTATCCTCAGTAGGCCTAATTCACTGATGACTAAAACGACCCTTTAGCTAATTGCACGGAATTATAAATAATAATTGATATGATGAATATTTATGACTTTCGGGATTTTTTACAAGCGAGATCAGGAACATCTATTTGCATACGGCATGTAGCAAATCGCATAAGACGTGATAAACTTTATCGTCTTATGCAATTAGTTAAAAGGTCGTTTTAGTCATCAGTGGATTAGGCCTACTGGGGATACCACTTAAAAAAAAAAACGCGTCAACAAATAGTACCTCATGGGTGACGTGGAAAGCTATTGCCATGCGCTCGCTCCTGACCGCTGAGCGGCTCGTAGGCTTTGCGCGACACGGCGAGGTAAGGGGGGATGCGCTTAGGCGGAGCCAGCTGAAAATCGGCCGAAATATGCAGTTCTTGCCGAGCTCTGCTTTATTATACAGGGTGTTTCAGATCACCAGTACCACCCATTTAAAAACTAGAGAAGTGGTTATTTTAAAAAAGTGAAAATATTTTCTTTATAAATCGGGTGCGCTCTATCGAATGGTGATATTTTCAACTTTTGGTTCCGGCCGGAAATAGGCGATATAGATCGGAAGTGCATTTTTTAAAATGGAACCCCCTATTTTTCATTGCATATTCTTGTAGCTTATCTCGAGAACTTTCCAAAACACTATAATAAATTATTTTTCCATGAAGTACTTTTCGAGTTATGAGGCTTGAAATAATTTCTTAATTTTACATAAACTAATATAATATCTATACCATAAAATATCTTGTAAAATATTCATGTTTCGATTATCTTACCTTAATGTAACTTTTATGTACAAAATAATGAGAAGAATCAATTGGTGTAAAGAAAATACATAGTTGTTTCTAAGAAAAAATATGTAATTTGCAATTAACAATTCTATATTTTTTCTTAAAAACAACTGTGTGTTTCCTTTACACCAATTGATTCCTCTCATTATTTTGTACATAAAAGTATTAAGGTAAGATAATCGAAAAATGAATATTTTACAAAATATTTTATAGTTTATGTAAAATTAAGAAATGATTTCAAGCCTCATAACTCGAAAAGTACTTTATGGAAAAATAATTTATTATAATGTTTTGGAAAGCTCTCGAGATAAGCTATAAGAATGTGCAATGAAAAATAGGGAGTTCCATTTTAAAAAATGCACTTCCGGTTTGAATCGCCTATTTCCGGCCGGAACCAGAAGTTGAAAATATCACCATTCGATAGAGCGCACCCGATATATAAAGAAAATGTTTTAACTTTTTTGAAATAACTACTTCTCTAGTTATTAAATGGATGGTACGGGTAGTCTGAAACACTCTGTATATTAATTTGTACATTTAAACATATTGCATGGCTCTAGTTTCGTTCACCGCTGTATTAATTAATGTGCGTGTCCGACGTACTTGCCACTTTTGGCAGTAACAGTTCACTTTTCAGAAACGCAACGTCTTCCGAAGACCTTCACAATCGTTTGGCAGGACTTAAGATGGAGGTCACTTCACGAACTTCCGAGGTATCTACGCAGAATCAATCATTAGTGGTGAAAACCACCACTGTGGTTACTCAAACTACAAATAGCACGACTGCCAATGGCGAAGTCGAGACGAATCAAGCCAATGAAACGCAGCACGTTAACAGTAAGTGAAATTGCAATCGATGTAGACATGATCATATTTTGATTATCTGATGATTAGACTGTATTGAAGACTCGTGGGAAAGGTTTCGGTTCACTTGTATAATAGCTTATTGTAAATGATTCTTTGCATAATTATTTATTATTTTTTAAATCAAAATACAAATTTTATTGATTTTCAGATATACTAATTGGATTAAAATGGAAAATTCACACGTTATGTTGTGTAGTTCATTTAATTCAATCATATTGTCTTCGTCTTCTAACGCTTCGATAATTTTGTTCTTTCCACCTTTCCGTTATATTTTATTATTATATTTTATTTTTTTATGTTCATTATTTTTATTATTATTTTGTTTGTGGCATTGTTTTATTGCGCAGGCACTACGGTAGAACGAGAGATACGCAGCGGTATCGAGACAACCACAACACACGCCACCATCACTCTACCCCCGAATGTCGAGGTCAGCAAACGGCACTGAATATTACAATTAATTGGTGTCGGTCGTTGCCTCGATATCAATCTCTTGTTGACGCTTTAATACTTAATGTTGTGTGGCATTAACAAATTGATCTCCCGCTACTGAGTGCATCAGCTTTTAATTCGTTTGATTTTCTTCATTTATTCCCCGCTGCTATCTCTCTCTCTCTCTCTCTCTTTCTCTCTTTCTCTCCATATGCAATATTCATTAACAAACTGACTAACGACACTAAAGTAGACGTAAAATTTAAATAATTAACTCTTTCACATATTCAAAATTTCTTTTTTATTATACAGGGTGTCCCATTTTAATCGATCACCCTGAATAACATTTTTAATTTTGATTGTAGAAAAAAATGTTTCAGACAAAAGTTGTATGGTTTTAAGGGGCACATAAGACGGTGCCATCAGTTTGACCTTGAAGAGTCACCTGAAGATCACGTGAAGGTCACCTCCAACTTTTTAAATGGAACACCCTATGTGCTTTTACATATTCTTGTAGTTCAGTTGTCTCGAGAGCTTTCCAAAACACTATAATAAAATATTTTTCTGTTGAGTGCTTTCCGAGTCATAAGGCTTGAAATCATTTTACATAAATCGTAAAATATCTTGTAAAATATTCATTTTTCGATTATCTTACCTTAATACTTTTATGTACAAAATAATGAGAGGAATCAATTGGTGTAAAGAAAACACATAGTTGTTTCTAAAAAAAAATATGTAATTTTGCAATTAACAATTCCATATTTTTTCTTAAAAACAACTGTGTGTTTCCTTTACACCAATTGATTCCTCTCATTATTTTGTACATAAAAGTATTAAGGTAAGATAATCGAAAAATGAATATTTTACAAGATATTTTACGGTTTATGTAAAATTAAAAAATTATTTCAAACCTCATAACTCGAAAAGTACTTAATGAAAAAATACTTTATTATAATGTTTTGGAGCTCTCGAGATGAGCTACAAGAATATGCAAAAGCACATAGGATCCCATTTAAAAAGTTGGAAATGACCTTCACGTCACCTTCAGGTGACTCTTCAAGGTAAAACTAATGGCACCGTATTATGTGCCCCTTAAAACCATACAACTTTTGTCTGAAACATTTTTTTCTACAATCAAAATTAAAAAAGTTATTCAGGGTAATCGATTAAAATGGGACATCCTGTATATTATTATAATATATGAAGAGGTAAATAAATATTTAATTATCACAGATTAGTGCTGCGGATCTGGCCAACTTGGAAGTCACTACGACTACAGTGACTACTACTACAGAAAGGTCCAAGGCACCATTAGCTAGGCCAGAGGAAGTTGGTTCGTAGGCCTGTTCCATATCCATTTCATATGAAGCTGATCATGCATCGCGATTTTGCGCTCCGTTTACAGAGCCATCAGTAATTCTTATCCAACCAATGTGTATACAGCGGCGACTATAGATAGGATTTATATATCATAGAATTTTTTAAAAAGTCTAGATTTCTACACAGCAGTTTTAGCGTTTAAATCATGCGCGTTGCGCGAGCAAGCGTGAAGTTTTAATATAAACTTTATGCATTTCTCATTGACATCCATCATTGCATTCTAATTGAAAGTATTCCAAATGAGTAACTTTTGGAAAATTGGCAAAGAATCAATGATTTTTTAACGAAAATAGGCCTAAAAACTTATTTATCCTACGATGCAAGAGATAGCTGGGTATTCTCGCTATATTTTCCTTTAGATAAGAAATTTTAAGATTTTAATTATAGATTGAGAGTTTTTTGTGAATAAGAGATCGTAACACATCAAATTTTACAATAAACTTAGAAGACTTTTATCATAACAATTCTCTATCTAATTAGCTATCATTTTATACGGCCAATTTTAATGTTCATTAATTTAGCGATAAATCTGGTGTATATGATCTACAATTATACTGATTCATGCAATCAGTATAATCGTAGATTTTTGAAAAAAATCATTATTTATCGAGAGATAGGGACGACAACATCACAAATCGTGAATTATGGCAGCCTTAAATTTACTCTTTGTATGTGTTATTTTATATACTTCTAATTATTATATAAAATATCACGCGACTTAAGCTATTCACAGTATTTGAAATGTTTCGGATGTTTTGTGGATTTTTCACAAGCGGAAGCGTATAACTTGTGGTGCGACATAAAACTGCTTCGAGCAAAAAGAACATAACTACTTAAGTAGAATTATATATATATATATATATATATATATATATATATATATATATATATATATTTGACGAACAATTAAGGAGAGATTAAGCATGGCGAACTTAAAGAGAAATGTCTGTCGATGAGAACGCGTTAAAAATATATTTTTTATTGATGTTGCTTAATCGTTAAGTTTCCCCCCCTCTTCGTCTTTACAAAGAGGACGTAATCAAAGTTTCGAGGAAATTCTCGAATACTCGGGATTGCTTGACATATATACTATGATACCGATATAGTTACTTTATTGTTGCATTTATTCACAGCCTTTTTTTTCTAGACAGAATAATCGCATGGATTAGTCTTTAGCGATGAATAATTGTTACAGAATACGTTTCTGCCTTGCGTTACTATACGAATTCTTATAAAGATACTATACATATCGCGTTTTTACATCGATATATTCATAGCTTGCCTCTGCAATGCGAAAAGCACCAATTATGCGAAATATCTTATAATTTTGATCTCAATAGAATTGTCAATGGAAATAGTATAGTTCACGTTATATCTGGAAATTGTTCCATCTTGGAATTTTCTCTTAACACGCTGATAATTTTACAAAATTGTACAAAAAGAAAAACAACAAATAACTAAGTGAATTCGAAGCGCAGAACAGACTGATGGAGGTATATTGTGATCCTCCTTATCAATTGCATGTTTATATTAATTTTCTTAAAACAACCGTGATTAAAATTTTAAACGATAACACTTGAATTTTAAACATGTATTGAGGATAATACCGATTATTACTTAATGCGATAAGGATAAGTTTTAATTTTTGTGTAGATAAGTTTTTATCTCTCTTTTAATTTCACAATTACTCTTATTCACGATTGTTTATCGATTTTATTTTATTTTATACTCTAGAACGCGCATAATGTATCGTCATATCTCGCACATTTGTGTTTCAAAAGAGGGAAAAAAAAAGAAAAAGAAAAATAATGTTAAATAAAAATAATGTTTGGATTTTGATCAATTATAACTTAGAAGCGTAACTAAGTTTCTTTTATTTTATCGAAAACGCCAAGTTTGCCGAGATATGTACACTTATAACACTGTAAATTGTTTTTTACTTTGATAAAGTAATGTATAGTGTACACACACAAAATGAAAATGATAAAACACTGCCCCTTTTTCCTATCCAATATTGTTAAATACTGATTATAATATGTCTTATATACTGAATGCCTATTACGAGAAAAATATATGAATGATTATTGCTGTATTTTCTATTTCAAATTGTGCTATATATTTATTCTCCTAGAGATTGCCTTCTAAACTGACTTTCCTTGACATACATTTTATATGTTTTACAATTTATGACTTGTGTAACAGAATTTATTATATATTTTTAAGGAGAATATTATGGATAGATAAAATTTTATTTTAAGACTATCAAAATTTTTTTCTCGAGAATTGGAGTATTAAAATATCTATGAATTTGACGAGTTATTTGAATATGTGTGCGAATAAAAAAAAATTGTACGTTTCATGACGAGTAAAATTAATTTTATGATTTTATATAAATGTAAATGTATTTAAGAAGCAACGCAATAATTAATCATCTGTGTGTGTGGATGTGTATATATATTTTTAAAAATGTATACTGTATTCTAGTTTTTTATATGGATGTCTGAGAATTTTTCTATTTGAAATTAAGGCTTGCAATTGTCAAAATGTTTTTAAAAAATCTTTAAATATTTTATATAAATATAATATAAATATAATATAAATTATTACACACATATATGTGTGTATATATACAGAGTGTCAGGGCAATTTCTCCTCCAAAAAAAGCTCTTGTAGCTTATCTTCAAGAGTTTTTTCAAAACACTATAATAAAATATTTTTTCGTCGAATACTTTTCGAATTGTGAAGCTTGAAATAATTTCTTCATTTTATATAAACCATAAAATATCTAATAAAATATTCATTTTCCTTCCGATTATCTTATCTTATCTTAATACTTTTATGTACAAAATAATGAGAGGAAACAATTAGTGTAAAAAAATACATAATTGTTTCGAAAAAAAATATGTAATTGTTGATTGCAAATTACATATTTTTTCTTCGAAACAATTATGTATTTTCTTTACACCAATTGATTCCTTCATTATTTTGTACATAAAAGTATTAAAGTAATATGATCGAAAAATGAATATTTTATGATTTATGTAAAATTAAAAGATTATTTCAAGCCTCATAACTCGAAAAATATTCAAAGAAAAAACTTTATTATAATGTTTTGAAAAACTCGAAGTAAGCTCGAGAGATAAGCTCTTTTTTTTGGAGAGGAGATTGCTCTGACACCCTGTATATACGTATATACAGGATGTCCCAAAACTCACAATCTTTCAAAGACAAATTCCTGGATCCGGATCATTTGGAGACGATTTTTCCTCAGCGAAAATGTCGATGAAGTCCATTATTTTTTGCACACTCCTGATTTTTGTCATTATATATCTTTGCAATTAAGTCTTAAATTAAAACTCAACTAAAGTAAACTCAATTTAAAATTAATCGAAGAATAGTCTTGTTAACATTTCATTTCTACAAATCTTAGTTTACGAAAAACCCCTTATTTCCAAAATTATTAGTTCCTCATCATTTTCGTTGAGGAAAAATCGTCTTCAGATGATCCCAGGAATCTGTCTTCGAAAGTTCAATTATGAATTTCGGGATACCCTGTATATACGTATAACAAGCATGAAGTTGGCGAGAGGATCGAGACGCGAGCGCCGAAGAAACCCGCGCCTCCTCAACATCCCTGCAGAGTGCGCTAGCGAGGTAAGCGCCTTTCGAATCGAGGTGGAAAACGAGAGGACGCCCGCGAACCTTTCCACTTTTCCGCCTCTCAGTGTAGAAAAAAAAAGTAGGAAAAACCCTCGGTAAAAACCACGTAAGATCGCGCGGACGCCGTCGCGACCGCTCCGTTACTTCGCCGCCACCCGTTAGATAGACATCGCGCGCGCTCCCATCGGTGCGTGGCCGCGACAGCAAGACATTCATCGATATTCATCGCCGAGGGACGTCCGTCCAGGACGTGATCCTCGCGCGCAGTGTTATTAGACGGACCAGGTTTTCTCACGCATACGCATTGAATATGATATCACCAAAGTAGTTAATCGCGATGTATTTTATAATACTATTACTATTATATTTCTATAAGTAATTATATTTCGACTATTATCTTTTTATATTAATATTACTTATTCTAAATTAAGTAATATTATTATAGAAATATAATAGCAATAGTATTATAGAAATATAATAGTAATATGTCACTAATGTAGTTAATCGCAATGTATTTTATAATACTATTGCTATTATATTTCTATAAGTAGTTTCTACAAGTAATTATATTTCTACTATTATATTTGCATATTAATATTACTTATTCTAAATTAAGTATAATATTATTATAGAATAAGTAATATTATTATGGAAATATAAGAGTAATAGTATTATAAAATACATCGCGATTAAGGATGTATTTGACGGACCGTCTGTCTCAAAAGTTAATCCAAAGTACCAAAAAATTAAAGTTGGGCAGAATACGAATTCTAATTGATGAAAAATTTTTTAAAAATCACGAAATCATACTTCAAAGTATTCTTTAATATAAATAGGTCTTAATTTCCAAGAAAATATTGCCACGTTTTATCATCAATATTGCGTCAAACCGATAATCACAGTTATTTTTTAATAATAATTTCAAAACGAACAAGTAAATCGTTTTAAAACTTTGTGGGAACATTTTTACATGTATGAAGAATATAATATTACAAAATGAAATTTTTATCATTGTTTTTTTATAGTTTGTGAATAATTTATTACCTGTCTCTTGAACATTTACATAAGATCCTGTTAAAATCACAAAATTCAAAAATTAATAACTTTTAAAGGAGCAAGTAAAAAAATTTGAAATTCATGACGATTTAGAATGTTATTAAGAATTCAAAATTCACGGCGATCTCATTGATTATAATATATCTCCAATACATCCTTAATAATTTGGCATTTAATAAATATAAATTGTACATATAAATACTTGTTTTCTTGTATAGAAGAAAAAATCTTACTAAAAACATTATAAAATCCAAATGTCTTAGATTGTTTTGTTTTAGAATTCTATATTTTGTAATTTTATTATTTTTTTATTATGTTAAATGTGAAAATTTAAAATTTATAAAATTATGAGTTTCTGTTATATTATTTTAGTATTATATTATCATATAATTAGTCTATAAGAAATCTATCATACATATTTATATTATGATCATATATGCTTTCTAAGATTATTATCCCCACTTTATACACGAAGAAATAAGTTAGTTTTGCTCTCTACTAGTAGAATTTCATAATATTCTCTATTCTTTCTCTTTCATTATACAATTTTTATTATTGTTCTTTTATAGTTTGTGAATAATTTATTACCTGTCTCTTGAATGTTTACATAAACATAAGATCCTATCGCAAAATTCAAAAATTAATAACTTTTAAAGGAGCAAGTAAAAAAATTTGAAACAATTCATGACGATTTAGAATGTTATTAAGAATGTTAAATTCAAAATTCACGGCGATCTCATTGATTGTAATAAATCTCCAATACATCCTTAATCGCAATGCATTTTATAATACCATTACTATTATATTTCTATAATAATATTACTTAATAATTTAGAATGAGTAATATTATCATAGAAATATAATAGTAACAATAGTATTATAAAATACATCGCGATTAATCACTTCAGTGATATCATATTCAACGCGCATGCGCGAGAAAACCTAGCCCATCTAACAACACTGAAGTCGCGCGCGTCACGTCCACCGAATCCCCCTACCCCACCCCGCCCGGCTCATCTATCCCCACTCCCCGCCCGTCCGTCCACCTCGCGACGTCAACGCCGTCAACAACAACGGCGACGTATGCGCGAGGCGACCGCAGCGCCGCCGTCATCAGCGCGACCGCCATCGCAACGAGGCGCGCTATCCCGTTCACTTCGCGACGAAGAAGCCACGAAGAAATGCCCGTAGGTTCGAGATCGATCGTCAGTCCGAGTTCCCGTACGACGAGCATGGAGGTATCATCGCGGTCGAGCCTGTAACGGGCGCGCTGTGGATCTCAGGAGCGAGGCCAGCACGCACTCTCGTCGTCATCGTCACCGTCACCATCGTCATCATCGTCGTCGTCGTCGTCTTGCATCGTCGCTCTCGCGCTCCACGCTCGCGTCGGGTCAGCTGCTGCTAACTTCGCGCCGCCCCCTTCGCGCGCCAGGTTGTCGGTTGTGTGTGCATCGGGTGCGCGTATCGCATCGAGCCCGCGGCCCCGCGATCGTGACACTCTCCGCCCCCGAGGTGCGCCGCCCGCAGGCCTCTCCGCGTGCACGATGGAGCTGCGCGTTGGTAACAAGTACCGGCTCGGACGGAAAATCGGGAGCGGCTCCTTCGGCGACATTTACCTAGGTAATCCTCTCCCTCCCCCCTCTCTCCCGACCCTCCCCGTCCACCCCCGGATGCCGGATCCTCTCCCTCTTCCCCCCTCTCTCTCGCTCTCTTCTTTACCCTTTACCCTCTTCTCCTCCCCCTCCCCCTCAGCCTCTCGTTTACAGCGGATTTCGTGTATTTCACGCGCGCCAACTCCTACGTTTATTCCTCGCTTTCCTCTCTTTCCCTCCTCCCCCCGCTCTTTGTGCTCCTCCACTCGTCTCCTTTCTTTGTCCGGGGTTTCTTCTTTATTTTTCAGACACATTGTATGTATATATATATATATATATATATATATATATATATATATATATTAATTTATTTATTATATATTTTTATTTATATATATATTTTTTTTTTTAGACACATTGTGTATATATATATATATATATATATGTGTGTGTGTGTGTGTGTGTGTGTGTGTGTGTAAATGCAGAGTCTTACCTTGGTCTTTCTTCCTTGCACTTGGCAGGTACGAATATTTCAACGGGTGAGGAGGTTGCCATCAAGTTGGAATGCATAAAGACACGGCATCCGCAGCTGCACATAGAGTCCAAGTTTTACAAGATGATGCAAGGAGGCGGTGAGTAAATCAATATTTCCATGTGAATGTTTATTCCGTAACATAGAAGCCGTGTCATGTGTTCCTGTTTATTAGACAGCTGATCCAATATCTTTTTCTTTGACATCGCTACGACATATTGTATATCTGTGAGGTCTGTTTATTTTCGTATCCCTTTACAATTTGAACATATTGAAAGGATTTTGAGACTCAGCGACAGTGTAAAATACTATAATATCATTGAAATTTCATGACTGATAAGATTATCGAGACTTGACAGTTTGAAAAAAATTGATAATTCAAAATAAAACAAAGAAATATTTTTACAATGAAAAGTAAATAGGATTAAACTTTGAAAAAAAGTTTTACATTATTTTACTAGTTAAATACATGCCTCCATTGTGATTATTTCATCACTTTCACCCACAGTAGTTTCATAAGACTTATTAAAGCACAATATATTCTCTGTGTATACGTGTAATATAATTATTTTGTATTCTAATTATAACCTTTAAAGTTTGTTTCCTTCTTTCCCCTGATTGTATCAGGAGTTGCAATAATATAACTTCATATTCTTGATATTCTAGTTGGAATACCAACTATAAAATGGTGTGGTTCGGAGGGTGATTATAACGTAATGGTAATGGAATTACTTGGGCCATCACTGGAAGATTTGTTTAATTTTTGTTCAAGACGTTTTACTCTGAAAACAGTCCTGCTCCTTGCCGATCAATTGGTAAATAATTTTTTTTCAATTATAAAAATATTCTTATCTGTATGGAACATACAAATAAAATAAACGATGATTCAAAAGCTAATAAATATTTTATGTCTATTAAAACTAAATATATTAATGTTGTAATAATATCAATAGATGATACATTGTTCTTTGATTTTTTGCTTTTCATTTTATCACTAATAATGAAAATATGTGTTTTGAACATATCTTAATTGTCATGAGAAATTATTTTGTTAGAATTTCAATTTTATTACTTTATTATGCATTGCAAGAGAGGATTCTATTTATGTTGCACATTCATGCCTGCACTTTGAGATAAAAGGCTAAACAGATAACTTCCATCTTATTATTCTTATATGGAGTTGCTTCAATATTTTTGTGCAGGGTGTTCCTGCTCGAATGCCTTGCCATATGTTCAAAGTTCATATTCTGATTATATTTATTACTTTATTTAACAGGGAGAAATATGTTATTGTACGCTACATTACTGTCAAGAATGGCTCGCGTTCAATAAATAAATAAATATCTTTTTCTTTTCTTCTCAAAACATACTATTATATTACATTATAATTATAATTGAATTATGTATAAAAATGTATTTCCAAGTGTTAAATGTAAGAAAAAGTACAAATATTAATTAATTTTTTATTCAAATATCTTACACTCATTTGATAGCTTTGATTTAGAAGAAAGTCTTTCAAAGAAATGAATAATATGTTACCAAATTAGCAAATATTATGCAGCATGCACACTGCATTATGAGTTAAATTGAATAAACAGTTTATTTATCTCTAGATATATGATCTTTGAAGCATGAAGCATGAACACATTGAAACACAGACTGTACAGTTATAATAACAGTGCTTTAACTTCTCTATTCTGCAGATAAGTAGAACAGATTACATTCACAGCCGCAACTTTATTCATCGTGATATTAAGCCAGACAATTTTCTGATGGGTCTGGGAAAGAAGGGCAACCTCGTCTACATTATAGATTTCGGATTGGCTAAAAAATATCGCGATGGCCGCACACACAAGCATATACCCTATCGAGAAAACAAGAATCTGACAGGGACGGCCAGGTTGGAACCATATCGCTAATAAAATCTCAATGTATAATAATCTTGCTCTGACTAATTCATTTGCCATGATAACAGATACGCGAGCATAAACACACACTTGGGGATCGAGCAGTCACGACGGGACGACCTCGAATCTCTGGGCTATGTCCTCATGTACTTCAATAGAGGTAGTCTACCCTGGCAAGGATTGAAAGCAGCGACTAAGAGACAAAAGTACGAACGCATTTCTGAAAAGAAAATGTCCACTCCCATAGAAGAACTCTGTAAAGGCTATCCTGGTAAGTTTTTTTTACAGTAGGTACATGACGTAAGTAAAGATATCACGTAAGGTAAAATCTTTATCTTCAATTTCATACAATAGAGCGAATGTTTGATTAATTATTGCAGTAGAGTTTGCGTCGTATCTAAGGTATTGTCGGGATTTGCGCTTCGAGGAGAGGCCGGATTATTCGCATCTCCGACAACTTTTCCGAACATTGTTCCACGGTCAGGGCTTCACTTACGATTACGTCTTTGACTGGAATATGCTGAAGTTTGGTAACGCGAGACAACCAACTTTACCTTCCGCACAACAAGCGCCCATGCACTCGCAGCCGTCTAACGCGGCGCTGCCTTCTGGGACCAACAACGATCAGGAACATCGATCAAGGTTGGTGTTTTGCTAAAAAAAAAATAGCGGCTTGCCTAAAAAAAATTCTCATGCATTAAACTGGCGGCTGGTTAGTGCGATTGCATCTTCACACCATAGCGCCTTTTCACGTTTATAAATAGCATGGTCATCATTTCATTGCTCACAAGCGTGCTCTATTTTCGGCGGCTGGGACAACGAATCGGGAAACTGCCGCTTTGAGCAATGTGAATAATAACCAATGTAGTATAAATATTTGTTTAAATTAGTATTTCCTTATACTCGAGAAATTAATATGTATCTCATCTCATTCAAGGCATATCTGGTAAATTTAATTTAATAATAATTTTCAAAACTAGCTAGAGGTAGATGAGCGTAGCGTTGAATCTTATAAAATTACCATTCTATCTTCTATTATCCATTTAATCTTACACTGAGAAAAAATCTGGTTGCATTAATTCTGGTAGATGTAACCAGCATGTCTGTTGGAAAATGGACGAACTACAATTCTTGTAGGAATTACCAGATGAATCTGATTAATTTCTTTTTGTTAAATTTATCAAATTTTCTGATTAATAATATTAAAGTTAATAATATTAAGTTAATAATATTAAACTTACCAGCACCAAGTCGTCTAAATTTTTTTCCAACTAATCTCAAAAGTCTGATTAATATTCTGAATTTCAACAAGATTATTGGATAAATTCAATCCAGATTATTGAATAAATTATTTTAAATTCAGTTTGTTAGAAATTAAACTGATAAACAATGCACTGAGAAAAAAACCTGGTTGCATTAATTAGAATTCTGATCGATTCAACCAGTATGTCTGTTGGAAAATGGACGAAACACAATTCTTGTAGGAATTACCAGATGAATCTGATTAATTTCTTTCTGTTAAATTTACCAAATTTTCTGGTTAATAATACTAAACTCATCAGCACCAAGTCGTCTAAAATTTTTTCCATCTAATCTCAAAAGTCTGTTTAATATTCTGAATTTGAACAAGATTATTGGACGAATTCAATCCAGATTATTGAAATTATTTTAAATTCAGTTTGTTAGAAATTAAACTGATAAACAGTGATGCAAGAAGAGGATGCAGCTCAAACACACACAATCAGAGAGCGAGCGTCCTATTTCTGGCATTACTGCTCGTAAGAGAAAAAAAATATACTTTGGATTTAATGTTAATACTAGTTCTTTATATACATTTCATGGCAAATGTTGAATACGAGTTAAGTTAAGAGTGGTTCACCGTTTAATGGTAAGCAAAGAAATTAATGTAACAAGAAATTTTATCCAACCAGAAAATACTAACTAAATCCTTATAGTAAAATCTAAACGTTCTAGTTATAAAAAATCGTGTCTCATCATGATAACTAAAAATTCTTGTTTGATTTAACCAAAATGCCTTCAATCATACACGTCTTGTTGGTACAATCAAACGATTCTTCTCAGTGTATTAGACGCTCTTTTTATTTTATAGTGTAATATATTATATATCACAATATAGTTTTATAGTGTAATATATTATATATCACAATATCTTTTGCGTCTACCGGCGAGAAATTTACTTATCTTTCGTTCATATTTGCTTCTTTCAGGCCCTACACGCGGCAATGTTTGCCAAACGCGTCCGTAGCGACGGTGGGCCCGACGCTTGGACGCTTGGACCCGACCACGAGTTTGCGAGCGATCCGGCAGAAACGCGAGATGGAGACTCGTGGTGACCAGGACAATCAGGACAAGAATGATCTCCAAGGTAAAATACAATTCTACCAACAATTCTGCGCAAGCCAACAGAATTTCGGTATTGCCGAGCGAAAAACGCAACATAATGTGACAGTCGGACACTCGCAGCAGCCTGCGCCTGGCGGCAATGAGACCGCCGCCGTCGTCGCGAGTGCGACACGCGTGATAAATCCATGTCAATTCAGTACATTCAAGTCAACTACTACGCCGGGTAATAGGGCGGCGCCCCCGCCACCGCCAGATCTGGCGGCCTCTCTAGACCTGACCGGTCTCAATCTGGGACGTAGTCGCGAATTAGGCTCCAATCGCATCGCGGAGATCAATTCCGCGACTACGTCACGCGACTATTATCAGCCGACAATGAGTAGAACGCGTGAGAGGAGCCCAAACACGGCGTCCCGTCAACTCGATAAACAGAGCTATTTTTTTCATGGGCATAAAACTGAGAAAGACGTAGATCGCAAGGTCGTGATGTTTGAGGATCTAGGAACTAAAGGTACGAATTACGCTCGACTAGCGGATGACGCGGATGAAACCGCGGCAATGTCGGGCTCGATAAATTGCTTCGGTGGCCTGGACAAAGAGAGAAGCTACGCTGATTACGACGGCGACAAGAAGCACAGGTGTCTCGCAACCAACAGCGTCCGACATTTTACCGTGACTCACGAGACGCGTGACTCAGAAAGCGTGGAATTCCTCGAAAAGGAGGGTGAGATCTTTAAGAAGAGCAGTAACGAGTTGTTGCAGGAAACTTTCGCCAGCAAATGCAGAAACTTCTCTTTCCGCAGCAAGGAAAAACCGCACAAGAGCTTGGAGTCGCTCGAGAGAAGCATCAATGTACCAGCTGTAGATTGTAAGAGTCTAGATTTTCCACCGAAAGAGCAATCGAAGAACTTTTTCCACAATAAACAGAGGAGTCTCGATTCGACCAAGAAGTCCGTCGATTCCTCGACGGCGAATAAGACACGCAAGCGACCCAGCTTCTTCCAACGAGTTGGCAGAAGCTTGCATTTTTTACCCAGGGAGCGCGAGAAGCGCCAAGAGGACACATCGAAGCGAGAGGGACTCGCAATTAACGGTCAGTATCCTCAAACCGATCAGGAAAAGTGCGAGTATTTTTTACAGAGGCATCAAAAAAACGTTGATTTTTTTGAACGTTCGTCAAACTCGCCAGCCAATCGTGCTCCCGTCCAATCCAATCTCGGTTCTCTCAACGAGGTAGATTTCGCTGTTGTACAAAATTCCTCTAGTCGTCTCAGAGATGCGCGGCTCGAGGGAAGTACGTTTCGCGCGAAACGAGACTCGAATAAGTCTACGAATGCGGATACCATGGAGGATAATATAAAGCAGAATAATTGGGATGCGAGTAAATCGTTGATGCAAACCGACCTTTCGAATATCGAATTGACTGTCACGGTGATGCAATCGAGGCTTCCCCTGATCGAGGGCCCCATTGCGAGTGTCACCACGCAAGATACCGTCAGCGGTAACAAGGACAGCTTGGACATCGGATACTCCATCAGCGAGCTTGGTAGAATTTATTTGCATACTATACAGAACATTGATCACCCGGAGGGTCTGCTGTCTCTGGAAAACGCCGCCGACACGACGGAAAAACGGAAACGCTACATAGAATGGCTGCAAACGAAAAACGATCAAGATATTCTGAGTCACGGTACCAACTCCTGCGATTCTCTGACTCACGGTAAACCGCAGGGTAACTTGGACATTCTTATAAATATCCTCCTCGACATTTTCGTCTGGATTTGCATTTGAGAGCAGTTGTAAGGCCTCTCTTTCTCTGGGAAATTTTGAAATACAGACCTCTTATATCACGTACCGAGCGATCTCCGTTTATATATTCTCGTATGGAAAAATTACAAGACCAAGATTTCGATGGTTGGTCGGATTTGCTCCGGAGAAATCGAATATTTTCTACGAACAAATATAGAATGAGCGTGATTTTTATACTGAATATTTTTGCGCATTTCACATGCGTATATTTTCATACGATATTATATAATAATATTTATAATGTCTATTTATATATATATGTATATATATATATATATATATATATATATATATATATATATATACATACACAAGGTGTATCTTAAAAAGCTCCCACTGAGCGAATAGCGTTATTCCTAATTAAAAACCGAGTCGAAAAGTCCTGAATCATTTTTTTTCCAAGATTCATTAAGGATGTATTGGAGATATATTACAATTAATGAGATCGCCGTGAAAATTTTTAATTTAACATTCTTAATAACATTCTAAATCATCATGAATTATTTCAAATTTTTTTACTTGCTCCTGTAAAAGTTATTAATTTTTGAATTTTGCGATTTTAACATAGGATCTTATATAAACGTTCAAGAGACAGATAATAAATTATTCACAAACTATAAAAAAACAATGATAAAAATTTTATTTGTAATGAAAGAGAAAGAAAATTTCAATTGTAATGAAAGAGAAAGAATAGAGAATATTATGAAATTCTACTGGTAGAGAGCAGAGCTAACTTATTTCTTCGTGTATAAAGTGGGGATAAAAACCTCAGAAAGCATATATGATCATAATATAAATATGTATGATAGATTTCTTATAGACTAATTATATGATAATATAATACTAAAATAATATAACAGAAACTCATAATTTTATAAATTTTAAATTTTCACATTTAACATAATAAAAAAATAATAAAATTACAAAATATAGAATTCTAAAACAAAACAATCTAAGACATTTGGATTTTATAATGTTTTTAGTAAGATTTTTTCTTCTATACAAGAAAACAAGTATTTATATGTACAATTTATATTTATTAAATGCCAAATTATTAAGGATGTATTGGAGATATATTATAATCAATGAGATCGCCGTGAATTTTGAATTCTTAATAACATTCTAAATCGTCATGAATTATTTTAAATTTTTGCTTTATTAAGCATTATGAAAAAAAAATGGTTCAGGACTTTTCGACTCGGTTTTTAATCAGGAATAACGCTATTTACTTAGTGGGAGCTTTTTAAGATACACTCTATATACACTGTCGAATTATCCATGACATGCAGTCGTAACAGCCGCATTGAAATCTTGGCTATTTGCAAACGAATAACAAGATTGCCTTAGATTGCAAGCAGGAGTGAAATTAATTATAGATCGTGAATCTCGGGCCAATAAGCGATTTTTTTTCTATATGCAACATGTGTGCAACATATATAATGTACATGTAAGCATATATTAAATTTGTACACTGCGGCCTCTCACATGTAGGATCGATGGCGTTTATTAATGCTTGAGAAACGCGTCGCGAAATTTTTATGTTGTGTATTCTTGCCGCATAATAGTTACGAGATTGATTTTGTTTCGTTCTTACTTAGGTTTTTACTCTTTATTTAAGTTTTATTTTCTCACTTAGTGGCGATTGATAAGCATTCATAAACCAAATTATAAGAATAACATATACTATGACAATCACGTGTATGTACATAAATAGTTTTTGTTTCTTTTTTTTCTTTTTTTAACAATCACAAGCTCAATTACAACGTGAAAAAAAATGCAAAATCAGGGCTTTAATTTTTATAAAAGAAATTATTCCGAGTGAAACAAATATTGTTTATAATCATCAAGGTTGTGTATACGTAAAAAATTTTTTTATATTTATTATAAGTTGATTTATTTTTTACACCGATATATTTTTGCCGCCTATAAAACTCATCATTTATGTTATAAACAGATTTTATTGTCGAGTAATGTCTCTTTGCGCGTTTGTTTCTTATTTTTTTCTTTATTTATATTTTTTCGATAATTTTTTATTATTTGACAAAATTAACTCAGTTTCGGAATGATAATAAAGTAAGGAAAACATCGTGCACAGTTTATAAAATAAGAATAACATTAACGTAGGGATATATGGCTTTAATCGTTTTTCGTAATTTATTTATTTCTGCCTTAAGAAAAATAATCTCTTGATTGTTTAGACTGACCAAAAGTTTATAGACTGATAACACTTGTCATTAAATATTTTTCAAAGTGCTTGTTCGCAGATACGTAGATCATAATTTTTATATCGCAATGTTTTATTTTATTTGTTCTCTAAACTTTTCGCGTTTCTCTCTCTTTTTTTTATCAAAACTTATAACGAATTCGGATGAATGCATTAGTGTACATTGATACACATTAAAGACTATTGTATATAAATTTATAATAGTATAATTAAAATAAGATTAATATTATAAATTAATTAATATTATCAATTATTATTAAATATTTTTATTCAATATAAATGATGATATATAATAATAATTCATAAAATTAATTATTTTACTTATTTATGCTACATAATAATAATTCATAAAATTAATTATTTTACTTATTTTAGTTATTTATACTATTGTAAATTTGTATACAGCCTTTAAATGCACCAGTGCATCTAATCGAATTCGTTGTTAGAATTATATATAGCACAATCGTAATACTTTATAACATTGAAATTTAGAGATATTAGTGTCTTAATTAATATATTGGAGAGAAAATATCAATACCATCGCTTCTTGTATAAATCGAAATTTTTTTTATTTGTCATAAAATCTATGATGCTGTAATCAAGCGATAAAAATCGACTCCACAGTTCCTTCAAATTCAAATTTTAATTTAATTTGTGTTCTTCTGTCTTATGTATTTATAAGCTTCATGATAAAGAAAGAGAGGGAGATTAAAAAGTTTTGTCTTGTATCTCTGATACGTTGATTTTGAGACATTAATACATTGATTATTCGTTCAAGAGGTAACGATAAAAAAATCAAGTGTTTAATTAATTAACTTATTTAATCTAAATCTCATACATACATTATGTTAAATGAAGTCTCAATAATATGCGACTTTCCAACAATTTCATACATGAAAGATCTATGTCTCGCGATACGAACAATAAAAAAATGATTTAAAGACTGTTAATTAATCGCGTATTACTTGATCACAAGAACTCAGGACACTGATTTTGATTGTCTCCAAAATCGAAGCTCTTTACAGTTTGTTACTATTATTGATTATAAAATTCAAAATATGAAGCGTTGAATATTTCTCGCAGCAGAATATCTGCTTTTAATATCGTTTATATAAATATTTGTTTCAATTATAAAACGCGTTGTTAATTATAATTAGCATTTAAAAGAAAAAAAAGTGATGTTGTGTTCCTTTTTATTTTAGTCATTGACATTTTCATCATTTAATTAATTGTATCCCGTAACGATTGTGAAGCTTCAACACCAACGTGTTTACTGATAATTAATTAAGCATACGTATTAATCTTCGAATACGTTCTGGTGAAATGGAAGAAGTAGTCTGACGGATGATAGCCTTTCGTAATTCAACAGTAGCTTGACTTTTCACTTTTCTAATTAAATGCCACGTAATATTATACATATGGGAGAGCGTCCAGGGACGCGCGGAAAGCATTACCAAAGCTTAGATAGGGAATATAAAGTCTAGTTTATTACTTATCCATGATCTTTGTAATCTCAAAGGGGTATACTGAGGGAAAAATTTTTTTTTTAATCAAATAAATTTGTTTTCTTGAAACTTTTGCTTCAAATGCAAGGAATTGTTTATTTCATTTAAGCAAAAGTATTTAATTTTAATTAAATATGCATGTTGTATTAAATACATTATTTTCATTTATATATTTTTTTATATTTAAATACTATTTTTGTAAAATATATACTATAATCTATTAAGTTAAATATATTATTTTTTTAAATTAAAAAATTTAAAATTTTTAAGAATAAAAAATGTATTTTAATAAATGTTTTGTAAAATTAAAGTAAAAATATTTAATTAAAAATTATATTTTTTTAAATATATGTAAATAAATACTTAAGCAAACAGACGTTTTGAATACAAGTAAATACGTGATTAGTATTCACCGAATAAATAGCTTTCTTGAGTTGACTAAAATTTTTTTATTTCAACATAATTTTTTCCTTAGTGCACTGTGGCTCTCTCATTAGACGAAATAAACAATCGAACGAAGGGATTTATATTTATTAAAATCGTGCTACGACATTGCCAACTTCTTCCTATGCACTAGATCACTAGATCACAGGCATCGTCCCTTTATCGCTCATTCTCACCTGTTTTTCTTCATTCATCTACGAAGTCTTCATATCGTATATTTATCTGTAATCGACCTGTTTTTTTTATTGATAATAATGGTGATGATAATGATGATGATGATGATGATGATGATGATGATGATGATGATGATGATGATGATGATGATAATGATAATGAAGAAAAAGTAGCAAATAAATGTTTTTCCATTCAAGGACTGGTCTCTTTTTATTTATCTCACCACACGACATTGTCGATTATCCTTGTCAAAATTATTTCTCACTTGGCTTGAATGGAAAAACCCAAATGTGCAATGAATAGCGGTCAAGTTATTCATTCTCCGAGATGTCTGGATTTCGATAAAGATCGATGAAAGAAAAAGAGAATGGAGAAAAGTCTATATTTTGGCTAATCTTTCAATTTTGTCGCATCATCTGTCTTCACAGAAGCGTATCATTCTTATTTGAATTTATTTTTCGAAGCACATTATTGACATTTGCGCATATTCCTTCGGTTGTACATTTTTTTTCTCTTTTTTTCTTTTTTTATTCTAATTAATTTTTCCATTTCAATTGCCAAGAGTGAAAAATCTACCCGTCCCGCGTCGCCTGGTTGATGTTATTACTGTTAAATTGACATTCTTGAATATCCATTTGTATGAATACGATTACTTTGACACATCAACCTGACGAATATATCCCACATACGACACGATCCTTGAGACGTTGTATCGCTTCATAATTTATTACTATTGCTGTTTCAGAAGATTACAACAATAATTTAATAATTTGAAATAATGATATGTAGATTAATAGAGTTCAAAATAGTGTATTCCTATTTCAACAAAGTAGCATAGAAAATTGTGTCAAAGTTAAGATTGTAAAGTCTTTACTTTTCGCTAGAGAAGAAAAATATATGCTTCCAATCAGTTAAAAATTATTCAAGAGTATTATATCGCATTTGTTAAATATGTTATAAAATCTTTTTCTTCTTCAACTATTTATTATATTGAAGTACGTGAATCACTCATATAAAATAGTGTTTTTAATTTATTTAAATAATTTAGTTAAATATATATTTAAATATATATAATTAAATATATAGTTAAATATATATTTAAATATATATTAAATTATTTAAGTTAAGAAATTTAGTTAAATATATATAAATTAATATATAAAAATTATATATAAAAATATATAAAAATATATATAAAATATATATATATTTAATTATATATAATTATATATTTAATTATATATGAAAAAATATATATAAAAATTATATATAAAAATATATATAATTAAATATATAAAAATTAAATACGACAGTTAAATAATAATTTCCCCATTTTTTTCGGATTAGATTGCGCGTAGCTTTATCATTTTTTATTACGACTTTTTGGAAATTATGTCGCCTGAAAAGTAGCCTTAGATTGCAGGTTGACGCATGGTGGGTATAACACACATATATACTGTGAAAATGTGTGCTTTGCAATGAAACGAGTGTTCTTATCTTCCTATACGATTATTTTTTTCTACCTTTTGTATTTTTTTTCTCGGCGAGCTACTTGCACGATTGAATGTACTGACCAATCAAAATAAATCGCCGACGATTTGATGCGAGAGTCGAGTTTTGGAATTGTTTTTTGAAAGAGGAACTTTATTTTAACGGGTATTGCTATCCCCTCTGATTGCTTTTGAATTTGTGTTATAATCTTTGAACCTGCTGTATCGAGAGAAGTTAAATAAATTAACAAAAAAAAAAAGATCGAATCTCCTAGAAAATAGGCAAGGTGGCAGCGAGTTGACGACACATAGGAATGTTGGCTGAGAATTTCTTTTGCGGTTTTTCATGCATTGTTTTTTTTCTGATAATCTCTTTCAGCATCGGGTGCGGGTGGACAGGAGCGAAGGGTCAGCATGCGATTGCATCGTAGGGATACACTTCTAGCAGCTGCAGGAGAAATGCAGCCCAAGTCCAAGTGAGTTGCTACACAATATGAGACGATTAAATCCTCTAGACGACTGGGTATAACTTGCTCTACTATTTCATCCGCGGATGAAAATGATCGTAAGCTTGTGCAAAACAATGATGTTCATTATTTTTAACAAGATTATTAATTATTTCGATCGCTTTAGTGTCATAATAGGAAGGTTTTGGAATCGAGGAAATCAACCGAAACTTTCTCCATGTCTTCGTATATTGTATAAAGGGTGTTTCAAACCACCCATTCAAAAACTAGAGAAGTGGTTATTTCAAAAAAGTAAAAACATTTTCTTTATCAATCGGATGCGCTCTATCAAATAGTGATATTTTCAACTTCTGATTCCAGTCGAAAATAGGCGATTTAAACCGAAAGTGCATTTTTATAAAATGGAACCTCTTATTTTTCATTGCATATTCTTGTAGCTTACCTCGAGAGCTTTCCAAAACACTATAATAAATTATTTTTCCATAAAGTACTTTTCGAGTTATGAGGCTTGAAATTATTTCTTAATTTTACATAAATCATAAAATATCTTATAAAATATTCATTTTTCGATTATCCTACCTTAATACTTTTATGTACAAAATAATGAGAGGAATCAATTGGTGTAAAGAAAACATACAGTTGTTTTTAAGAAAAAATATGGAATTGTTAATTGCAAATTACATATTTTTTCTTAGAAACAATTATGTGTTTTCTTCACACCAATTGATTCCTCTCATTATTTTGTATATAAAGGTAAGATAATCGAATAATGAATATTTTACAAGATATTTTACGATTTATGTAAAATTAAGAAATGATTTCAATTCTCATAACTCGAAAAGTACTTCATGGAAAAATAATTTATTACAGTGTTTTGGAAAGCTCTCGAGATAAGCTACAAAAATATGCAATGAAAAATAGGGGGTTCCATTTAAAAAGCTTTACTTCCGGTCTGAATCGCCTATTTTCGGCCGAAATCAGAAGTTGAAAATATCACCATTCGATAGAACGCACTCGATTTATAAAGCAAATGTTTTTACTTTTTTGAAATAACCACTTCTCTAGTTTTTAAATGGGTGGGCTGAAACACCCTGTATATTTGAAATAGATGGTCGAATTTTGCAATTTCCAATTTAATCTTAAATTTTTCCCAAGAAAAATATCATTTTCGAATTAAGCTTCAAAAGTGGGAAAAATCTGATTGTTTCTGTAATTTTTTAAATATCAACTAGATTAAAAATCTGTTAAATTGATAATTAAAGAAAAAAATTGATTTCGAGTTTGCCAATAAATATATTCCGGTACTTATTTTTAGATCATCTTCCATAAAATTCTTCGCGAGAAAAGTTCAGAGCTTGTTACACTCGTTCCAGGTTGCATGATCGTTGCACATTTTGGGGAAAAATTTCATTTTACATAAGCCTGTTTCTGATTCTATTTATATTCATATCGATCTCGTGGTTGTGATAAGTATGAAAATTTGCAGTACGTTAATGATATATAAGCTCGAATTTTATCAATTTTTCACAGCTCTCGCCAAGTCTTATGATTCATCGAGGCGTAATAGTTACAATTTCAAGATTGTAATTTGTGTTGTGCTTGTGCAAAATCGTGTTTTGTATTTTGTTCGGTACGCGTTAGTTGTATAGAAGCTTCATTTTAGTAGGAAGGTGGTGTCTCAATACCGTGGCATGGTACTCCAATTACTTGTGTTAATTCGGGATAAATGGATAATCGAGACAAATGGATAAAGGGGAAGAAACATATTTTGTCATTTGGAAAGAATTCTCGATACGCATATTTCATCTACATTCAAAATTACTCATTTCATCATCGTCTTTGGTGACATATATCATTTAACCATTTTAAAGCTTGTAATTAAAACGAGTGTTTTGATAAATTTCCAATGATTAAAAAATACATCATTCTTTCTCAAATTTAATTTACAGAAACACAAATAGAGATAATATAAATTTTATTCTTTATATAATTTTTTACAACAAAATTTCAAGATTTGTATTTCAAAAATAATTATTTATAAAGATATTTAAAAAAAAACATAAAGAATCAAAATTTTTTAAAGTTTTTATTTTAGTTTTCATTTTCTAAAAAAAATTGCCTTTAAATTTATTAAAGAAGGTATTATATTGTAATAATAATGAGACATTCTGTACATATATATATATATATATATATATATATATATATATATGTGTGTGTGTGTGTGTTGCCGATAACTATATGAAATGAAGAAATAAAAGATACACTTGAAATGTATATTTATAATTCAAATTTAAAATGAGAAAACATTCTCTCCAAATGAAGATAATTATTATTGCTTGCTATCGAATGCACTCTCTCACAATATAATACTGATTACATTTTTTAATAAATGATATATTGGAATATGTGATTAACATAAAAAACTAATTAAAATACGATGCAAGATACAATTTCTATATTTTGATAAATATAATGCCTGTAGCTTGTGATAAGCCGATCGGCTATATAATTTTGATAATATCGCATGTGATAATTTATATTATAATAATAAATCATTTGTTATATTAATAAATCATTTATGAATAATTTTCTTGATTGTTAGATTAAATTCCAATGTTATTGGGATGCCCAACCATAAAAATCGCATGTCGATAAAAAGTAAGATATAAGAAAAACTTGATATTATTTATTTTACATTTCATGAGTACATTTGAAAAAAAAATAACAGTATACCAGAATTTTTTTAATAATTTTTAAATTCGTATTTAAATTATTTAATTTATAATTTATAGAAGATGAAATAATAATAAAGTAAGGATGCAAATTAAATAACGTAATAACTAAAAGGGAAAGAAATAACTTTAGCATGTCCTTGCAAGTAGTATTTCTAGCACTATATGTTTCTCCACAAGAAGACTTTCACATTTGCCTTTCAAGACTTGTAATGCTAGTAATAAGAGCGTAACGAATCAGAGAATAGCTGGCCGATTCAAGCTGGTTATTGCACAACTCTCCTTGGTAACTGGTTAATCCACTATTGAATGTCTTCAGGTATAAACTTGATTTCTAGAGTCGAGTGACATTGTCGTTAAAATCTTATTAATACTTGAAATCGTACTTGAAAATGTTAGGACATAAAATTATCGTGTTTATTTTTGAATTTTTATTGATTTTAAATAAAAAAAATTATAATTATTCATTCGACTTTCAATTTATTCAAAATTTTTACAAATTATATTATTTATTCTTTTTTACAAATTATATTATTTATTCTTTTTTAAACAAATTTGCATCTTATATTATTTATTCTATATTATTTATTCTTTTTTATAAATTATATTATTTATTCTCTTTTAAACAAATTTGCATCTAAATAATATGTATGAAATTAATATGAGTGATACACATGTCATAAATATTTGAAAATAATATTTCAGAAAACAGATTTGACAGCTTTCCCTTTGCAAAAATTTATCAATAATTTTAAATCACTTTTTATTGATTGTAAAATCAATGTTTTTTTTTTTTTTTTTTTTTTTTTTTTTTTTTTTTTTTTTTTTTTTTTTTTTTTAATATATATTTTCAGTACGTGCTGGGCATCTCTTGGAATAACTGTGCATGTAAACATGCACGTTTTCGCACTCGAAATTTCACGAGCATAATCTATATAGATAAAATTTTTCTCTAATACTGTGAAAGTATAGACATGCAAAATTATTCGGAATCGAAATTCCTCTTTATGTTGACTTTCGTTGACTTTTTTCAGGTAACCGAAAGCTATCGCACTAATTCTAAATGACAAAAATAGACAAAGAGGGAGCGAAATTCTCTTCTGTGCCACGGTAGAGGACGCCGATTGTGAAAAGCTCTGATCACGGGGGAAACTTTCATCGTGCGAGCCTTCTCTCAGAGTTCATCCCTCCTCACGAGCCTGTTAATAATTTGCCACCTTATTCGCCGCTATTACACGCGAATCTCGCAATTTTTCATGGAGAACCTTGCAATGTTATTTTAATACAGCGAAAACACGGATATAATTGATTCTTGCATCTTTATTTAATTTATCAAATATTTAAATTAGATAACAAATGTCATTATATACGTTAAAAGAGAGGACAAATTATAATATTCAATATTAAATTATAATTCTAATATTATTATCATGAAACTAATATAGTTAAATTATAATTATAATATTAATATATTTAAATTATAATTATAATATTATTAATCTAATATATTTAAATTATAATTATAATATTATTATCATCAACAATTTATCATTTTAATAGACTCTTTCTTCCGGAGAATATCTATTGATGTTAGCTATATTTTTATCACAACATTGCATTTTATTGCGAGAGAGATGAGTATTCATTTGATCAAAAATTGCTGTAAACGCGAGCGATTATCCTGCAAGAATCATTATATACGTTGAAAGAGAGGACAAATTATAATTCTAATATATTTAAATTATAATTATAATATTATTATCATCAACAATTTATAATTTTATTAGACTCTTTGTTCCGGAGAATATCTGTTCATGTTAGCTATATTTTTATCACAACATTGCATTTTATTGCGAGAGAGATGTTTATTTGATCAAAAATTGCTGTAAACGCGAGCGATTATCCTGAGCAAGAATCTTTCATCAGTCATAGGATAAGACGGGAGGCTGATGCGACGAATGAGAGAAGGAGCGCCGGAAAAAGAGAAAAAAAAGAGGGAACCTTAGCTCGAGTTTATGTGACATTATGAAGACGGTGGCGCGCTAATGTCGCTGTTTTGTGTGTCTTTTGTTTTGGAAGCGCCAATGCGACGGCAATCGCTCCACCCACCCTGATGGTCAGGCGGGCAAGCGTGCAACACAACAAGTGAATCAGCAACAGCAATAGCGGAATCATCATCATCATCATCATCATCCTCGTAATCAGCAACGTCGTTCATCAAGAGCGACGACCAGCGTTCGCCGCCGACACGGCGCTTTCCTGCCTGTCGCAAACCGGAAGTGAACCCGCGCGCGGCCGGAAGTGGTGCCGCGCAGCCATCCGGTGAACGGTGAACGGATGCGACCCGATTGTCGCGTTTGTCGGTGACAATTGTAATCGCGGTGGTGCTTCATGAACATCCAGTAACGGGAAAGGTAACGTGAGGATGCCTGCGTGTGACTCCTTGCACCGAGTGGACGATGAGAGGAGGAAGGAAGAGGAGGGAGAGAACTGTAACAACTCGACGTCGACTGTGTCCCCGGGATGCAACGATGCAGCTCTCATCTTAGTGCGCAAGATTGGGCTATTGGAATATGTCCTGGATCTCTTTCTCACGATCGGAGCGAATCCTGTCTGGAGGACTCTCTCGACGACCATGAGAGCATTCATGAGAGTAAGAAGGTTTAGAAAAAAATCAAGTCGGATCCCTCGCATCTCTCTTGCGGGTGTAGGACGATGAAACGTGATTGTGATCGGTTTTTCTGCTTTCTTTTTTTTTTTTTTGTGATTTTTCTCGAAGCGAATCGCAAATGTACAGTACGCGGTTTCGATGATGGATCCTCGCAGTTGTTCACGATGCATAGTACATTTAATTTTCGTCGTACGAGAGGCGAGAACCGAACTGTGCGGCCAATTTTGTTTTTCCCGAATTTGATGCCGCATCGTAGTTATATTTGTCAAACTTCGTTATAATTTGTAAATTGTTTGCGAAAGAGAGCAGGGAGAGTTTTTTCTTGTCAAAGATATAGTAAATGAGATTATAATAAAACGCATGTCGCAACAGAAAGCTACGTTAGATGAAAAACCGTGGTATTTGGTTTAAACGTCATCAATATTCTTGATTACAATGGCATATATTCCATTCTGTAAATTCCTATAGAACTTGTAAAGACTTAACTTTTCTTTTCAATCTCATATAAGTCGATTAATGACCTCTCCGTTAACGATATTGTCTGTTAATGATATTGACTTGCGAAATTATCGTTCGATTTTTCACGAGACAGTCACGAGGGTTAACATAATTCCGCGCAATTATTACCGTATCCTGCTCCACCAGCGGGCTGAGTACGTATGTATAAATGTAGAATATCTCTTCGTATAAGTCACAACATGTATATAGATCGAATACATTGGTAACTCGAGCAGCTATCGAGTGTGTAAAGCTGTTCTCGAATTTTTGCACAAAATGAAAATGACATTTTTTCAGGCGATACAAATGAAATGTTAGCTCCACGTTAGTGTCAAGAAAATCAAGTGCAATGATGGGGAGAAGCCAGAACAAATACAATTTTGCTAGGACGCGTCATTTCGACACACGCGTTTAATACGGTTCTTGCCTTAAACTCGGCGTGCCATTGTTCCAGCCGAAGCTAAATACAAGGCAAATTTCGGGATCATCTGCGTGTCCAAGAAAATTATTTCAAACGGTATATACAATCATCAATTTTTGCCCGGCCAGTCTTGCCGACGAGAGCAATGTCACGTCGATTTACGGCAGCAAGATGCTGAGGTCTTCTCGCTAAAAAGCTCGATAGTTAAACGATCATACAGAACGTAGTACAACGGGCGCGCAGGGAGTGGGCGGGGGAGGACGTCTAGTTTTAGGGACAATTCGCTCGGTTGTGCTTAGATGGTAAGAAAAGAACACACGATTGCGAGTTTCCGTGGAGCATTTCTATCTCATCAGCATCGATCGGGCGTACTGTACAGGTGGTGGTGTGTCTGTGAATGCGCATGATGAATTATGACATCGTTCACTGTGTCTAATAAATAATAAAACAGATGTGACCTCTCTTCTCGTCCCGTGACAAACCTCGTGCCCTTCCCTTTTATACGTGCTAACAATACTAACCGAGAAAAGGCAACACCATTCAATCGCACACCCGGTCCTGTTCATCGACCTTCCGTTTTTCTTTTCCTTTTTTAAATTTTTTAATCAATTCCTTTAATTAATTAAATAATTTTAAAAAATTATTAAATTAATTAAAGAAATTAATTAAATAATTTAAGAAATTATTAAATTAATTAAAGAAATTAATTAAATAATTTAATGAAAAAAATTTAATTGTGGGGCGTATCTAGTTTAATATCTATCTAATTTAATTAAAATTTTTAATTAATTAATTTCAAGACTAGATACGTCATGTATTAAGTTGTATGTGATATGTATACCCGGAGAAAGCGATCCTCGGTGAACACTACCGCAGCATCGTTCCGCTAACGTGTGTACGTCCCGTGTTTGTAGAAAGCGTGTGCGTGTGTGTGTGCATGTGTGCGTGTTAATTACGTGCGAAAGTTTGCGTACTAGTGTGAGAGAAGTAGAAGAATGATGGGGAAGCAAAGTGCGAACAAAGTGCGTGCGTCGCATCATGAGAAAGGACCGGTTGCACCGACGACATAATGATTGACTGTTTTCTCTTTACATATCGCAGAACCAAGATGTAGAATAATATCCTGCAATCTTTATGTTTAATCTATAGTTTTCGAATTTTTATCATCGTCCAATTGGACAGAAACAAAGAAAGACCTGGATGGTTCACCACAAATGTTACACCAAGTAACATTTATATAATTGTCAGTTGCAATTTCCCACTCAACAATATATTATATTACAGTTATATTATTGAGAAATTATTATTATTGGGAAATTATTATTATTGGGAAATTGTAATTAACAGTTATATAACTGTTATTTGGTGTTTGTTAGGATATGACTCGTATGGAAAGATATTGAAATAGTATCAGACAGCTAAACTATAGATTTCGCAGACTATTGTTACTCTGAGATTTAATGTTATCAAATATGCTCCTTTCACACACGCCCCTGTCACCATCGAGAACTTTCCCCCCGAATATTAATAATAATTTTCATCTGTCTCAGAGCCTTACCCAAGTAGAACATGAAACTCATAACGACATCATTATGACGTCACCTAAAAGTCATTTTAGAAAAATTATAACGATCTTATTTGATATATTTTTGGTGACTTATTTTTGGTATTAAATATTTCTAGCGAACTGTTGGAGAATATATATATACTTCGCGTATGAAATACTTATTAATTCTTAAGAATCAATCATAATAATATCATTTTTTATATATATTACGTAATTACTTGTTTATTTAATTATTCATGTATATTTTAATTATATTTAAGCAACATAATCTTTTTAAAATTATATAAAGCGATTATTGAACTTAAAAATTTATTATTCTTTTTGTCATCTTTAATTCATTTTTTAATCATTTTTGGTAACTTTTAAGTGATAAATAAAATCAATGATGTCATTATGAGTTTCATGTTCTACCTGGATGGCTGGTGACGCGTAGTTTATTATAATTCTGTATCAATGAATCGTTGATACAACCGATCCCAACGATTGCGATTTAGAGATACGAGCTCGCAGAATTCAAGTAACGTAACTTAAACGCCAGAAGAAAAAGATAGAGATATTCTAGAAGACATTTTAAATCCTGAAAATACTTTTTAAATGTCTTTTAGACTTTAATGTTTATTAAAACCGCGATCATGCGAAATGCTTGACCTTTAAGCACTTGTAAATCCCATAAATGCATTTTTCTCCTGGTAGCTGGGTCTTTCGTTGAGACGATCGTACCGCAAACTTTTCACGCATTTCCGCATAATAATAATAAAAAAAAAAACGAGGACGTTCCGAAGACTTTTCATTCTTCGGAGAAGTTTCGGAAAAGAAGAGGGTCAAAAGTTTTTGCGCGGTTAACGGTTGGCGAAGACCATTTGTTCCCGCCTCATCATCTCTTCGTCCTTCCTTTCTGTTCTCTCTGCCCTCCCTTCCCCCGTTTTTCGGTTCTCTTCCTGACATCTTGCGCCGTACGATGCGTTGCATATTAAAAAAAAAAGCGAAGAAAAAAAAATGGAGAAAACGTGATGAAAAGTTACGCATATAAATATATTATACCAACATCGTGTTTTTCTATGTATTTTTTTCTTTTTTTTTTTTCATATAGGGTACTATTACTACTATTACTATTACTACTATCATATTATTACTATTACTATTAATACTACAACTATTACCATTACACTACCGCTGCTGCTATTGCTAATTAACTGTTATTATGTTGTATATCGTGTAGTGAAATTCTCTGGATCGCAACGATCTACTCGAGACGAAGCGGAGGACGAGGACAAAGCAATGTGCCCCCCACCCGCGATATCCACCTGTCATCGCACCTTGTACGTTGCATTTCTTCGTTTCCTCTCGCGAGTGGAAATTATCAATTTAATTATCAATTTAATTATCAATCCAAGAATTTTTCTTGGAATTTTTCGTATTCTTTCGCGTGTCAAAAACACATTCCCTTTTCGATTGATTGATGTTACGTTAAGCTGAAAAAATGACAAAGATGAAACAAATAAGAATATAATAAAAATGTTCAGATGCAAAATTATCAAGTCCGATGAATTTTAACTATGTAACTAACCGACCTGAAGGATAACTCTTTAATTTTTACATAAGTATCGACTAAGTTTTTATAATTTTGTAATATCTAAAATATAATTTTCTAATTTTCTAATTTTTCTAATTATCTAATTACAATCGTTACTAACTTTATGCAATAGTTACATGGTTGCCATTAATCTGATTTGAAGTCTGATATTTTCCACATAAGTATCGATTAATTTTTTATAATTTTCTAATATCTAAAAAAATTTTTATAATTTTCTAATTTTTATAATTTTGTAATATCTAAAAAAATCTAAAAAATTCCCTTGTGTCATTAGCAAAACATACCGTGTGCTTCAACTTTTTTTAAAGAATGCAAACTACTTTTTCAATCCCATCTCTCATTGTTTATCAGTCAAAATATATTTATAGTAATCGGAATTTTTTTATATTGTTACTGACTTTATGCAACAGTTACATGATTGCCATTAATCTGATTCGAAGTCTGATATTTTCCACTTCGAGTCACCTTCCTCGCTCCTCGTTCGAACAAATCCCATTTACCGCCTGAGAGACAAGTTTCCTTGAACCAACAGCATTACATTAATTATCAAACTTTTCTCTTCTGTAGGGAAAATCTCTGCGTGCTCGTTTATTTTTTCCAAAAACTTAGAGTTACACATATCAATCTTTTTTTCGCGTCGCTTTTCACACGAAAAATTATATTTCCTCGATTAATTAGATTATTCCACTTTACATATAATTATTTATAGCTGCTTTATTATACAAAAAATTTAAACAGATTTTTAGAAAATATTTTAAAAGTGATGAAATGATTTTTATTATCATTTAGCCTCTCGAAATAACGCTTAGTCAAAATTTAATTGAAATCAAATATAACAAAGTAATAATTATTGCGCGCACGTGATAAATATTCTTCAATTTCCTATTTATTTACGATGCTTTTCTCTTCTGTAGGGAAAATCTCTGCATACTCGTTTATTTTTTCCAAAAACTTAGAATTACATATGAATCTTTTTCTCGCGTCGCTTTTCACACGAAAAATTATATTTCCTCGATTAATTAGATTATTCCACTTTACATATAATTATTTATAGCTACTTTATTATACAAAAAACTTAAACAGATTTTTAGAAAATATTTTGAAAGTGATAAAATGATTTTTATTATCATTTAGCCTGTCGAAATAACGCTTGGTCAAAATTTAATGGAAATCAAATATAATAATGTAATAGTTATTGCGCGCACGTGATAAATATTCTTCAATTTCCTATTTATTTACGATGCTTTTGATAATGTGTACACGTTGGATCAAGGAAACTCTTACCGCTTAAACAAGAAAGAAAAAGACACTGCCAGCGCGAGCGAAAATTCTTGCGTTTTCCCATCACAACTGACTGAAGATATACGATCCGCGATCCCCGGGTTCGTTGTTTCGTCCTCTTGAATCATCGCGGATTCGTTGAACATTCAATAAATCTTCTCGAGATGATCGATGTTGCCGCGAGGAGGAATAATCGTTCCTCGTGTTATTTTTTATTTTTTATTTGCGCAGTTTATACACGATCGCGAGGTCCAATCGAAGAATGGCGACAAAATGGCGGAACTGATGTATCTAATTTAAATTATAATTAAAAAAATTACAATTTAAATTATAATTTAAAAAATTAGAATTAATATTTAAATTATAATTAATAAATAAATATGTAATTTATAAATTCTATTATAACGATATGTAATTATAATTTATAATTTCTCCTTAGCTTTACGAATAAAGATGTACCGACTGGTTGATAAATGATTTATCTGAAATTAGAAATGTGAAAAAATACTAGAGATCTCTATTTCTGCATAATATCCAATGATATCTTGTATATTCTATGGTTGGACCTGCGTTTCGGATGCAGACTGTCGCGCAAGCGAAAGCTGTAATTACCGAGAGATGAGAGAATACGCGTCTTTTCTTTGCGCGATTATGGATTATAGTTATGAATTATACGCGCTTGTTCGGCCGGCCTAGGGGAGCTTTCGTGAAATATGTGCAAAATAAATGTGTGAGAGAGCGTTTCCGAGTCTCGAGTCCGTTTTGTGAGACCGATGACAAGCTCCGATGGTCTCCCTCGGCGATATAATGTCACGACGACTATGACAAATGTCGATGATAAATTCGCGATTGATATATTTTAAGTGTACTAATCGAACTGTGCGTGTGTGTGTGTGTCGAAGCAAAAAAAAAAACGGTTTGTATATGTATATACAATTATTATTATAATCTATTGAAGCAACAAGAACATTATAATAATATGTGCAAGTGTGCTTGAGAAAGAGAGTGAGAGAAAGAATGTAAGAGAGAGAGAGAGAGAGATATTAGATAAAATGTGGCGGAAAAGGCAGCAAAACCGAGATAAAAAATAAACACTGTAAAACTGTCTTTGTGTACTATATGAGAAAAAAACAACCATAACTATAGTTGAAGTGTGTTTTGGTCAATGAAAGAGAGAGAGAGAGAGAGAAAGAGAGACAGGATGGTGTGATCTATTTGATATTGGATAGCCTTGTTTTTTCGGTTGCTTTGCATTTGTACTTTGTTTTAACAAGGAATGCTGGAAATATCGGTCATCGAACGATGAGAATGTTAACCCATATACACTCGCAATTTTTCTCTTCGCGAAGCAGTTCATGAAAGAGACGAATAGCTAAATAATCCTTAATGTTTGTGCTTTTTAAATATTTATGTTCCTTTTTTCTACCAAAACAACATTAATAATAAGATAAAAAGCTGTCAAAAATATAGAACTTCAATTATTTATTGTATAACTTGATATGAAACATATTTTAATTTAATTATTATTTTTCCTAATATGTTTACAAATTATTATTCGCGTAATATTATCATAAATATATAATGCTGTATGTAAATGGGTTAATCTCTATGCATCTTCGTTGCACCACAGAGTAGATTTTCCTTCTGTTGTAACCCGCTCTTGTTAAACGACCAAGAAATTACGTATAATACTTATATTAACAAATATTTTATTTTTATTTAAAAACAATCAAGTGTTTAATTTGGTAAAAAAATATTATACGTATGCAGAACTTATTTAATAATGGAAATTGCTTTGTTATTACGTTTATGATACCTTTAAGATAGCAAGAGCGTGAGACAGCAAGGAAAGCTCTCTGCTTGTTGACTTGCAATAATTTGTGAAAATGGTGTAAATTAAAAAGCTATCGATTCAACAACGTTAACGTTATTAGGAAGACAAGGAGTGAGAGAGAGAGAGAAAAAGAGAGAGATTGCGCGTTGTTAGGAAATTTGATATTTTCGCGCTACTCTGGCTGAAGTCGATTGATTAAAATAAATAAAAAAATAGTTGGTAAGATAACGAAACGCGATATTGTTATTCGCTTTAAATTTTGTTCAGTGGAGTCTATAAATGACGAGTGAAAACACGCGCGTTCTGACGATAGCGGATTTGCTATCTATCTCTCGATGCATGCGCGATTCTGCTTTGAAAAATATACCAAGCGTCAGTGCTGTTTAAGCATGTTTCGCAATTCGATAAAATATGGGAATAACATGTTCCGATTAAGATTTCTCGTGCGCAGCACATGATGTTTCAGAGTCATGTGCCAGAGCAAGGTGTCCCGAAAAGAGCCGTACTCGCAAGAAAAAAGAATTTCGACATTTCGACACTTCAGTTTTATCCGAAGAAGCTTAATAACTTTTGATTTCAATCGACTAGATATTATAAAGTCTAGAATAATAGAAATGAAGAGCGTTAGTTGTAAATGATTTTTATAGTTTCGTTTATAAACGAATTTGCTGTAATTTTTGATGAAATTTTTTTGTTCTGGAAAGCATGTAAAAAGTACAATATAAACTGAATCTCGTGTAAACACATAAAATATAAATCGAGCCATGTCTCAGTTGCAATAAAGATTACTTGCATTTATTAATTTTTTGTTTTTACATGATTGATTAAGTTGTTATTGAAGATTGTGATAAATTTGATAAATTTGCTTAACCAAGCAAGAAACAGTTTCATTGAAATAACAAATAATTCATACGAAATGTAAATTATAAAAATCATTTACCGTTTCTATTTTTCTCTGACATTTTAATTAAAATATATAATAAATTTGCTTAATCAAGCAAGAAACAATTTCGTTGAAATAACAAATAATTCATACGAAATGTAAATTATAAAAATCATTTACCGTATTCTATTTTTCTCTGACATTTTAATTAAAATATATAATAAAGATGCCGCCAAAATCTAAACAATTGATTATTGTATCCAACATTTTTCATGGAATTTGAAATCGGATGTTAAGTGTGGGATAATATATATATATATATATATATATATATATATATATATATATATATATATATATATATATATATAATCCTTTTTCGGACACCCTGCAAATTTGAGACATGGTGGAAAGGACACGTCGAGAAAGAAAAGTGCGACACATTCGATTTGTATTGTTTCTTTCAGCAGGCTGTCTTAGTTTCTCCGCCGCGTTGCGTTCACCGTAGGAGTAAATTAGGAGGCGAAAGAAAAGCGTTCGCGTTATTTAGATCGAATGCAACTACGGCAGAGAAGAGCTCGCGAATTATACACATACGCTGTATTTCGATAGAATATTTTCGAAAATATACTCGCGAGATACATTCATGGCTAAGCACGGATTCGTCTCGTTTGTTCGCGGCTTTCTCTGTCGCCGTCTGTTTGTCGAAGCTAGTTGAAGATGAAGAAAAGAGGAAATGAAGCATTTTTTAAATTAAATTAAAATGAAAGAAAAAAAGCACGATGTTTGAATTTTCTATCAGCCGTTCTGTCCGAGTCCCTTCAATGATCCTATCGATTTTATGTATATTAAATATATATGTACATTAAATGTATTTATGTACATTAAATATATATTATATATATTAAATATTTTATGTATATTAAATATAATTATATTAGATAATCTTTATTTTTTATTTCTTTTATATCGTATAAGGTTTTTCATAACGTTGTTAAAAAAATATGTAACTCCATTAATCTACACAAATCCATAGATATAAAATTTTTATAATAGAGATTAATGCATCTATAATATAATTGAATATTGTTTTTTAAAAGAATGGACCTCAAATTGCTTTTTATGTTAAGTTAAACTACGAAACCACCATCCACGAGCAAGCTGACGCCAGTAATCATGGAACTCCGGTCACTCAATAAGTATACGACAGCATCCACTACTTCGTCAACTTCTGCAACAAGGATTTAGTACAATTTAAAACTAATTTGTTGGTTTTCGCGATTAACATTTACAAAAAATGGAAATCAAATTCGATGGCAAGGATTTATGAATTTAAATCAGTAGTAAAAAATAGATATAAAAAATAGATATAAAAAATGCGTTTAATAAAGTAGCATTTATTATTATGTATTAGAAAACTTACTAACCAAAAAAAAAGAAAAAAACATTGTTTAAAACATTAAATTATCGTGTATATAATTATCGTGTATATAGAAAACTTACTAACCAAAAAAAAGGAAAAAACATTGTTTAAAACATTAAATTATTCGTGTATATAAATTAATATTCACAGATTTTTTAAAAGAAAATATCACAAAAACAAAAGCTTTGTATACACAATATTTAAAACTGGCAATAAATAATAGCTAAATGACTGTGTTTAAGATCCATTTAGAAAATATGAAATTAAAAGACAAGTAAAAATTATATCCTGCGAAACACGAATTAAATTCGTTCAATTTTTATTTCAAGATTTGAACTCAAGCTTATGCTTTGTAACTATAGTTTATTTATATCTAGTATTTATTTTTATTAGTTATTGTTAACAAAATTTTTATGAAAATCAATTCAAATATTCCTTTATCTTTGATAAATGTAAAACGATAGCTGTCAGTTATTTATACCGATTACTTATTTTTCTTATTAACAATCATGATGTGTGTCAACTTGTTGTGTTTATACGAAAAATGTTTATCTAGTGGATAGTAAGATATTTATAATGATACAATATAAGTAAATGTTATCGAGACAACCACAGAAGAGATTATCTATTTTATTTGACAAAATATGCGCATTAATATTCTGTTTCCATTCATAAATTATAGATAGATTTGCACGAATTCTAAATTATAAGTTATAAATTATACATAAATCATAAATTACAAAATTTAAATTTATAATTTCTTCTCATGAAAATTACAAATTAATAAGACAATTGTATCTGGATTGTAAATTTATACGGATCGTGTGTACTTTGTGGAATTATATTTCTCATATTTTAAATCAATTAAAACTTCGTTAATAAAGAGAGAGTTCAAATATAACTTAATTACTTTATATAACCAATCATTTCCGACTAAAATTAATTATTTTAGAATACTTATTACGTACCGGCAAATCGACCCAGTGGAATTTTGCTGATCATATCTTGTGCTTTCTGTGGATCGCTCCAACCCAATTTTCCCATTTCCGTCATCACGACTGTAGGACCGACCGCATTAACTCTTATGTTATACGGACCCAATTCAAGAGCCATCGTCCTAAAGGTATAAATAAATATAAAGATTAAAAATAAGATAACATCGAAAATGTATTTTCTTATGATTACTCAAATTAATATCAACCGTTTATAATAAAAAAAAAAATATAATTATTAATAGTGTTAAATAATAAGAAGCTGAAAATAAATTTGCTTTTAGCAAATTACACCTCTTGAAGATAAGAGTATTATAAATTACGAAATCTTATCTATTCTCTTGTAATGTTTAATTTTAATTAAAATTCTGTTTAGTAAATAAATTTTAGTTTAGTAAATAAATTTTGTAAGTAAATTTTATTTTAACGAGGATAAATTTTTACTGAACAAAAATTAATATCAAATTAATCAATACAAACAATTTTCAAATTTTTCATTTCTTCAAATATACATATTTGGCATTTCTATATTTATTTATGGATCAGTTGTATGTAAATTTTGTGAGAATATTTATTATCTTGTATATCTTTTATCGTTTTTTATCTTTTCTCGTTCTAATAATTTTTTATACTGATGATTCCGGAAGAGAGCATGTTTCTTGAACGTTGAGTTTTCATTTCATGTATCATACATAACAATATTAATTTCTTTACTTGAATAACATGTTAAGGGCTCCTTTGGACGCGCAATAAACGGCGTGATCCTTTAATGCCGCCTGACCGGCCTGCGACGATATATTTACAATGTTGCCGCCGCTTTTGCGTTCGATCATGTTCTTGGCTATAACTTGGGACACGTTCAATACAGCCTTCACATTGACATCAAAAGTCAGGTCAAATTCCTCCGGTGTGGCATCCAAGAATGGCGTAAGGCATGCGACCCCGGCATTATTGACCAATAAATCGATCGGCAGAATGTTCTCAACAGCCTTCCGAGTTGCATCCCAATCGCGAAGATCTACACAGATCGGATGTATTTTCGGGTCGGCCGCCACCAAACTGTCCAAGTTCTTCTTCGTTTTTGAGAGCGCGAACACCTCTGCCTTGTACTTGGAGAGACGTAGAACTAATTCTTTGCCGATACCTGCATTTAATAACATAGTAATTTATAAATATGTTTTTCTACGATCAATGATTTAATAATTTGTTTTAATGGTTTAATAATTTAAAATATAATTAAAAATATTTTTCTATTAAAATAATAATTTATCATGAAGTATCGTTCTATCGACAATTTAATAATTTAAAATATGTTGATAATTTGTTTTAATAATAGTTTAAAATTTAATTTAAAATTAATTTAAAATTTAATAATTAGAAATATTTTTCTATTAAAATATTAATTTATCGTGAAGTATCTTTCTATCGTCAATGATTTAATAATTTAAATATGTTAATAATTTGTAATAAAATATGTTAATAATTTGTTTTAATAATGGTTTAAAATTTAATTTAAAATTAATTTAAAATTAATCTAATTTAAAATTTAATAATTAAAAATATTTTTCTATTAAAACTGCGCGTTCTGAAAAAAACGAGATTATCAATTTTCGAATTAATTCTACAGAGTGTCTCTAAAATATGACTCAGCCTCTGGATGTTGAAAACGGCTTTAGACATGGAATAGCGTTTCAGACAAAAGTTCGAAGATATTAGGAAAGACAGATGATGAATATATTTGACTGTGAACAATCTTTTCAAGGCTAGGTTAATGTAATTAATGTTTTCTTGAATGGAATTCTTTTTGCATATTCTTATAGCTCTTATTGATATTTTTAGAACATTGTAATAATATTTTTTTATTAAGTACTTTTCGAGTTGTAAGGCTTGAAATATATTCTTAATTTTACATAAACTACAAAATACCTTGTAATATATTCATTTTTCGATTATCTTACCTGAATACTTATATGTATAAAATAATGAGAGGAATTAATTGATGTAAAGAAAACACAATTATTTAAAAAAAAACATGTGGCTGCTTATTGGAAGTTACATATTTTTCTTTTTCACACTGACTTTGAAAAGTCGCTCAAGGTTAAGTCCGTATTTTCATCATCTATCCCCAACACGTTTAAAGCATGTTTACACGTTACTTGGCTGCTAATTATTAGCCTGCTATTTGCTAACAATTAATAAAAAAGCATTATATAGTATAAAATGTTAGTAAACTAGCATGTTTTTTTTTCTTTTTTTTTCATGTCAGTCAAGTGAAAATATTTTAATTTTATTAGCTGTAGCACAAGCATTGTGTCAATTACGCTTAAAAGTTAATTATATTAATCTAAGAGAATAAGAGTTTATCATATTAATCTAAAAGAAGAGTTATACATATTAATCTGAAAGAAGAGCTAATCATATTAATCTGAAAAAAAATGTTTTACCGGAAATTGAAAACATCAAAGATGCATGACATACCTTGACCAGCACCGGTCACGAGAATGCGCTTTCCTTCGAAGCTGATGTTCATGGCTGATGCTCGTTCTATTGTAATAACACCAGTACTACTGCTTATAATGCACTTATGATGCAATCATATATTTATCTTTGTTGATCCCACACGTGATCTTTGACTCCTCTATCTGATAATGTATATAGAAGTAGTAATGTGTGGGAGCATCGATGGGCGGGAACCAAAGTTACTAATGAGATACTATCAAAAGAGACAGACATAGGCCTCTCATGTAGTATCTCTACAGCGGGCGCTCGCCTGTCTATCGCGATGCTCAGTCCAGTTTATATGTCGATGGTTAAATCGGAGCGATTTTCTATGCAATCTACGCGCTTCATGCGTAATTCGAAACGCATCCATATACAGGGTGTCCGATTCTTGAGGGAGCAAACGAAAAATGATGATAGATTGAGTCAAACTAAGAAGAAAAGTCCTCTACCATTTTACAAAATTCGCAATACTTATTAAGTAATAAGCAAAAATGTCCCGGCGCTTGAGAAGCGGTAGATCGCACGCATCGAGCGACGAGCGACAAGCGACACGCGACATATGATACCGCGCCGAACAATATTAAGGACGTTCGGGCGTTAAGCTTATTATTAGATAAAAATTCAAATCTTTGATATGTAGCAAGAATAATAACATTGTGATCGCTCTTACAAAATTCGTGGTATGTTATCGGTCATTAAAAAAAGTTATTAACGATGAAAAATCTTTTTTTTAACATAGGCTGTTATGAAAAACCATAACTTCCCTAACAGCACATGTAGATACTGAGAATGTTCGAAGAATATCGCAAAAGTACAATGCTTATATTCTCAGAACATTTGAGATACATACTATGATATATTAAGTATATACTAAGAATGCTCTAATGTCCGCCTATTTTGGTTAATAGTAAATACTGAGAATATCTTGCAGTATAATTCATATATGTAATATAAATACTTTTGATAAATGCCGTAAACACGCACACACTATTTCTCATTTTAATTTCAAATAATCTTTTTAATATTCTGAATCCAAACCAAGAATCCAGAACAACTAAATTACTAAACAAATTTTAAATTAAGTCAGCTTATTATAAATTAAAATGACTAAAAAGAAAAAAGAAGAAACTTTAGAACTCATGTTAAGTACCAGTCCTTTATGTCCATTTCACCAAAATTAAACTACGAGTTTGGTAGCGCGCGTAGCGGCAAAATGAGGAAACACATGCAATATTATAGAATATCCGGAAAATATATGAGAAAGAATATACTAATACGCGAGATATTCAAAGTATATTCTGAGAATATATGAAAAATAATATACAACAAGAGATGTTATGGGATTATTCTCAATATATTATATCTGTAATGTATATTTACAGTATAAGTATAGAATATTCGAATGATATCATGTGCTGTTAGGGTTTTATGTTTCAAATTTATGAAAAATATTATTAGAATAGATACGATGACAAATAATATTTTGAAATATCTTTTGAATCATATACATAATATTATTATCATAAAAAAAAGTGTTATCGTACGGTTGAATTATTTATTAACAATTATAATTAGTACTACTACTGTACTACTCGTCTACCTGACAGGTTAGAGATGTTAGGAGTCAAAATAATGTCAAATTAATTATTTTAGTTTTTTGCGATAATTAATCAACAAATAATTTTAATAAGTCAAAAGAACTTAATAAATTATTTTAGAATTATTGAAATATTTTTAAACAAATAACAAACTGTAAATAAAATTTGTAAATGATAGTTCTCATTTGACTCACGATTACCGCATGAACGTCCTTAAAAAGAATATTTTTTCGTTTCTTTGGCGATGGGAAAATGATACGCTATCATTTCCACATTGTGATAGATAGCTTGGTGCGTTTTTTAATTGTTTTTACACGCCATTCGGTGCGAAAGTCGCTTCGTCGGTCCACAAAGTATTGTCGGGACAAATTACATAAGACAAATTACATAAGACAAATTCCGCCGACATTGCACGAAGAATTTTGTGCATATTTTCTATATTTACTATAGTTGTTTCACTTTTAAATTAATCCGCGAATATGAAAAATTGATGATAATCAAACCCAAAAAAAACGCATCAAGCTATCCACCGCAAGGTGGTGCGGAAATGATCGCGCATCATTTTATCGAAGAAACGAAAAGACCGCTTCTCATGCGCCGAGATATTTTTGCTTATTACTTAATAATTATTGCGAATTTTGCAAAATGGTAGAGGACTATTCTTCTTAGTTTGACCCAATCTATTATCACTTTTGTTTGGTCCGTCTCACGAATCGGACACCCTGTATATATAATTCTTGTATTAAAAATTTCGGGTGAGATTCGATTGACCACGTCGCCAATTGGCCAATTCAAAATAGAACTCTCCGATTAATCGTTGCTGATTATCCTAGGCACAGGTTGATATAATTGGCTGTGGTCAATCGGGACGTGGTCAAACGGGACGCTCCCAAAATTTCTTGACCTCCCTCGTTTTCACGGGAGTGTATGTGTATTGCTTTTGGCGGCCATTCATTATTCCGCCGTGACTCGGCTCTGCTGCTGTTGCTATAACTAAGTTTCCACCGAGAGTTCGAATCAGGTCAGAGTTGGGTCAGAATAGGGTCAGAGTCAAGTTGGGGTGAACTTTTTATGGTGGAAACACCAACAAACCCTACCCTACTCTATCCAATAAAATTTTAAGGTAGGGTCCAAATAAAGTGGAAACGAGAAGAGTCAATTTAGTTGTAATGTTGCCAACAGGAGAAATTTGCGCTGTACCCTTTGTGCTGATTTTCGTCGCCGCTCTTGTAAACTAAGAAACAATTTCTGCATATTATTTTGATACTGCGAAATTAACATTAGCGCTCTCGGATTCATGATGTTTTGTTATGACAATTAACATAACTTTAATATCAAGATACTATTGTAACTGATATTTGTACAGTTGGTAACGTTTAACCTTGCCGGAACTCTAATGTAACTTTGATCAACTCTGATCCGGTAGAAATAGGCAAGCCAATTTGACTCTGACCCTACTCTGACCCAACTCTGGCCGGTATTCATAATCCGATTTTATATTTGAGATCGTCTTAAGTTCAAGCTTGAGATGCTACGCAGCTATTTAATTGGTTGAATAAGGTCTTAAGTCAACCTCGGACCAGACTTAAGACGATCTTAAATAATATAAGATCAGACTATGAATACCGGCCTCTGACCCGATTCGAACTCTCGGTGGAAACTTAGGTCTGGTTCCACAACTCGAGTTAAGCTCAGTTTCACAATCCAGTTAATCCGAGTTTAAGTAGTGAATGGACCAATCAGGACCCAGTTTAACGTATTAAAATCCGATTAACTCGAGTTGTGGAACCGGGTCTTAATCCGAGTTTAATACGTTAAACTGGGTCCTGAATGGTCCATTCACTATTTAAACTCGGATTAACTGGATTGTGGAACTGGCCCTAAGGGGTTTATTGTCGCGGCCATCTTAGATGCCTCAGATGTAGCGTCTATTTTCACGTCGCACGGACAGAAATCGAATAAAATATGAGAGATTCCGTGAAATCATCTATCATCTGAAATCGCTATGTTATTCCAAATCATTTCTGAATATTAAGGAATTCAAAAATATCACACTCCGTGAAATTAATATCCGTCGCCATCTTACATGCCTCATATTCCGTTGCAGTAGACATTTCTTTCCTCTCATCCTTTGAGTTTTGCCTCCGCAGCAATACACTCTGTCTTGAATTTCTTACGTCCATGATTCGGAATAACACAGCGATTTCAGATGATAGATGATTTCACGGAATCTCTCAAATTTTATTCAATTTACCGTGCGACGTGAAAATAGATGCTACATCTGAGGCATCTAAGATGGCCGCGACCCCTTTCCCCTCAGGCTTTATTCCCCTAGTCTAAAAGAGTATTTTATGCTCTGTCCTGTATTCAGTGTTCCGATTAGGGATTCCGTGCGCGCGCATGTGCGGCTCTGCACTTGCGCGACCGTGAAAGCACAATGTAATTTCAAAAGTCACGCATGCGCAGAACCGCATATGCGCGTACACGGAATCCCTGATCGGAACATTGCCTGTATTTCTTAAGCGTCGTCTACAATAGGTGGAGTTAGAGAACCTCTAGGAGAGAGAATGGACAACTGATCATGTGACATGTGATCAAGCTTTTTCATGATTGGCTGGCAGAAAATGTATCAATTTTAGCTATTGCGACGCCAATGCAAAATATGATGACACACAAATAGGACACACATGACACACATATATTAACCTATTTGTGTGTCATCATATTTTGCATTGGCGTCGCAATAGCTAAAATTGATACATTTTCTGCCAGCCAATCATGAAAAAGCTTGATCAGTTGTCCATTCTCTCTCCTAGAGGTTCTCTAGGTGGAGTAAGCGTGGCGTAAGAAGTAAGGGTAGAAGTAAAAGAGCTATTTCCGGTTTAAGAGAGCTGGAATAAGGGCGTAAGCAAAATGAATTATTTTTATTTCTTACGCCTACTCTTACTCTTACTGCCTGCCCCAAGTCTTGAGTTAGTGCAGCGGTACAGTTCAATATGGCAGCTTAGGTAAAACGAGAATAACAGTACAATTTAACCTAAAATTAAAAATTATATTATCTTTATATTTACTTTTTTAAGTTATGTTAATACTTAAGATTTTTCACTCTATATTCGTCTTTCACTATTATTTTGCACATATATAATTGGTAGTAATATAATAGAAATATAAAATACTGTGATAAATAATATTTTTTATATACGCAATAACAATAGCGACAGACAAACATATAGTAAAAAATCTTAAGTATTAATATAACTTTAAAAAAGTAAATATAAAGAGAATATATGATATATATGTTTTTTTAGCTTTTTCAATTTATATTTTTAATTTATATTAATTATATTTATACTTTAGTCGTATAAGAAAAAGTTTTATCGACATGGAGAAAAGAAGTGTTGTAATTGTAATTGCTTTATTAATAATTGTTATTAATAATTATTTATTAATAATTGACAGTTCGGTGAAACTTTGAAAAAAATGGATTATGAAGCAGATGTGATTGATGATGATCATAATGATGTATCGGAAACGCAAATCAACATGTGGAGAACATTGATAGAACTAGTGAAAGCAAATCCTGTGTTGTATAAAAAAAATCTGAAGGGATATAGTAAGAAAGGTGATAAAGATTTGATATGGGCCAATATTGGGGAATTATTAACACCACCAATGACTGGTAAGTGGAATAAATAATAATGATAAAACGAGGTTAGGACTTGTATGTGGCCGGTGAATAGAAGTTTTAAATACTAATAACTGTATTGTGTGTTCGTAGGAATTGCTGCACAAAAGGAGTTTTATCGCTTGCGACAGAAGTTTGGAAAAGAGCGCCGAAAAGTTATACAAACGCAGGCAAGATCTGGTGCGGGTGCAGATCATGTGCAATATGAATCAGATTGGATACTATATGATGATTTAATATTTCTTGTTGATTATATTCAACCTAGAAAGTGAGTAAATTATTTTTATATTCATATTTTTGCTTCGTAAAAAACAGTAGTTAAATATCTGTTATTTAATTATGAGTAATTAACTAATAATTAAAAATAACTAACATATTGTTTTTATGTTTATATAGAACAACATCAAATTATCAACGGTCTATGCACTAAACAGTTCTCACTTCACAAACTTCACTTCTTGCCCCATCGACATCTTCAACATATTTATCTAAACAAACTTCTAATGATAGCTTAGATATATGGAATGCTGACTTGTGCGAATCTTTAACAGGTGAGAAGTTATAGCGCACATTACATACAGTTATCTTATTATATGCTGACTGGCGTTTATAAGTTGGATTTTGATAACTTGGAATATTAATGTTTTTAAATAAATGCAGATTTGGAAGGTACAAATGATGAAAAGCTCTCTGCAGTGCATTCCATGGCAGCATGTTCTCCTTCATCTGCTTCAACCAAATCATCAACTTCAGACAATATATCTGTAAGCACGTTGAAAACCTTGGCTGCTAATGTAACTATCAACAAAAAGACACCATCAGCAGACATATCTAAGAAGAGGAAGCGAGAAACAATTGATGAAGTGGATAGAGTAATGGTTCAGTCTTCCCAAAATATCTCCTCATTGGCAAGCACATTGGAGACTGCACTTAAAACTTCGGCATTAAAACTTCGGCATTAAAACAACAGCTCACATCTGAATGTACTCCTGCAGTACAAGGGATGCTACCTAGTATAACCTTAGGACTGAATAAAGTTCCTGAGGAACATCAGATGGATTGTCTTATATTTATTCTTTCCTGCATTAATACATTTGTTAGAAAAGACTGAGAATTAAGGAAATACAACGTGTTACTATCTGAGATAAGATATCCCAATAAGCAAAATGTAAGCAGTATGTCGACAGACTGGCAACAGATTTGATCAAACCATGTCAGCAGAATGATATCTACTGCGTCCTCATTCTGCTTCTAATCTGCTAGCAGAACCTGCTCACAGAATCGGATATCAGATTGTCGGCAGAAATCGAGCAGGATCTGCGCATGCAATTTGATGTTAGATTGTCAGCAGAAACCGAGCAGAATCTGCGCATGATAACAAATTGACAGCAGAAACTTCACAAGATTTGCGCTTATTTTTATTAATGTTATATAAATGCAACACAATTGATTATTACAGGTGCTAAATAACAATATTATCGGCAAGTTAATTAGAATTTTCTTAGAAAATGACATATGTAATATGTTATATCGTAGATATATCTCATATAGCGAAGAACTAATTCAATTTAATTAAATTAATAATAAAGTAAATGATAAAAGTAAATGTAACTTGTAAAACTTGAGATGAATTGACTTGAGACTAATTTATTATATTTAGAATTAAATTCTTGCTTTATGCCTCAAATAGGCAGTACATGAATAATTTTTCATTTATCATATTGATTTCAATCAGTTTAATATTCTGACTCTCATTTGCTTGTATCAGATATCAGAAATTAAAGTGATAGAAATTAAAATAATTGCTACATTTTTAGTCTTTTATTCATATTCGCGACTTTATATATATTTCTGACAGAAATTCAATTACGAGAAAGTACAGCTCGCGTAGCGGTAAGTGAAGGAATTATCGAATCATGCAAACCCTGTTCCGTTTCTGCCATCAATCTGCTATCAGAGATTGTATGCGCAGATCCTGCTCGATTTTTGCCGACAATCTGTTGTCAAATTGCATCGCACAGATCCTGTTCAATTTCTGCCACAAATCTGCCACTAAGTTATGCCGGCAGAATTTGTTCGATTTTTGCTGCCAATCTGGTAACTGATTATGTTAACAAGCTTTGTTATATTTCTGTTGACTTTCTGCTGACATCACATGATATATCAGAACCTGCATCGATTCTGTAATCTTTCTGTCGACAACAATTTGTAACAGATTCCCTGACAAGATCTGCTTTAGCAGACTTGGCTATTGGGGTATGTTATGTATTAATATTTGTGATTATTTACTCTTATAATTAAAATTTTTTTGTTAATGCTATGTTATTAAATCTTATAACAGATAATAGTATGTTTAAATTTTTTTTATTTAAGTTTAAAACTTAAACTAATTTAAATGTGTATGCAATTTAAATTTAGCAGCAATGTTTTTTTTTACAGATTTGGATATGAAACAGCCTGTGATAAGTCTGATAATAAAACTACAACTCGTGAAAGACTGATAATAAAACTAAAACTCATCTTATGCCAAAGTTAAAGTTTTAACTTTTATATTTTACATAACCTTTTATTTTTAAATCAAAGTAATTTAATTTAAATAAGCATTAATAAATTTTATTTTATTTTATCTTACTTTATTTTATTTTATTTTATATAAAAATTAGAAAACGTTTATTAAGAAATTAGAAAACATATGAAATATTATGATTTGTTTTGAGATTAAGTGTTATGTTCTTATAAATTTATATATGTGACAAAATATAAGTAATAAAAAATCTTTCAGGATTTAACTTTGTTCTAATTACCAGCCTGTTTATTAAAACATCATATATATATATACACATATATACACATATATACACATATATATATACACATACATAGTTTACGATTAAAAGTGATAATTTTATATTTTTACGAAAATGTTCCTAGAATGTACATATTTTCAATATTAATGTTTGAGTAAAAAAATTATTTAAGTAACAAGACATTCAACATTTGATATTTAACATTCTTCAGAATTTTTCTTTTTTGCATAAATCAAACAGCAAAATAAAACGGCAAAATATGGCACACAATTTTATATATCATCTATTTTATAATCTAAAACAGAAACAATTAATTAATATAGTAATTATCAGAAAATAGAAAAAAATATTCCTATAGTAATGTTATAATTGTTATCTTACTGTGGTTGATTTATAGCTGATGTATACGGAATGTTCTTTCATATTGCCAAGGAGCTTGCTCTTTGTCAATTTCGGAAACAAAATACTGCATTAAGTAGTTTCTCATGTCATATGCAATACGAGTACTCCTATTTGCTCCAACTCTGCCTAGGCGATGAAAAATTGTTTGGCTATCTCTCCACGTTCCTCTTTGTATTTCGCCATTATTCTGTTCAGTATCCGTAAGTCCCGGAGGGCAATATTCGGCACGTCCACTAATCATCATAAAATTATGCAGGCATACAAGAGCTTTTACAATTAATTCTGCATTTTTTGGGGAACAGCTTATACAGGAATGTAAAATCTGCCACTTTGCTTTCATAATACCGAATGTGTTTTCAATAACTTTTCTAGCTCTGAACAAACGGTAGTTAAATATGCGCTCATTGTCAGTCATTTTATCATTTCTCTTGGGGAATGGTCTCATCATATAATTTGACAGAGGGAAAGCTTCATCCGCAACAAAGACATACGGAAATAACATTGTTGTTCCTGGTAGTAAAGTAGGTGGTGGCAAATTCGCTTTTCTTTCTTCTAAATTCTGCTTAAAGTGTGTATTGCTCCAGACGCCACCATCACTTATCGACCCTACAAACAGAACATGACAATGTACATGCATATGAGACTTTTCACAAAAGCATTATTAAATTACATTAACAGACTTCGAGCATGAAATTAATTGACACTTGATTAATAAATTATATTAATTGAAAAAAGAATATAAAAAGATATAAAAAAGAATTTTTACTTAAATTATTTTAAACTATTATTTTAGAATATCGGAAAAAAGTATAAAGAATTGTTTTTACAAATCAATGTAATCTACTAACGAAATATTGACGAAATATTAAAATATTGAAGTGTATTACAATTTATTTTATGAAATGCAAACAATTACAAATTAGATTTTACTTGATTTATTATTGCTACAGATATATACCATATTGTCCAATATCCACCCAGGTGAATTTATATTCTGCATCGCAAGTATCCAAGAGCACAATGCTGAAGTATCCTTTGTAATTAAAGAATTCTGATCCTGACCTAGGAGGAGCTTTAATACGTATATGTACTTCATCAATGGCACCGAGACAATTAGGAAACTGCCACTTATCAAAGAATCCAGGAGACCTTCTTCCATGAACTTTGATCCATAGATGGTAGAAATATCGGTTGCAGTGTTTCCCAAATTGCCTGACAGGTCTCAGGTATAATAGCGTATGCTGTTGATTTTCCTATTCGAAATTCTGTATGTTTGCTTAAAATAGAATCCCCTTGTGCAAGATATCTGTAGAAAAAATTCCATGTTAAATGGAAATACAGCAGCTAGTAGGGCTCTACATCTAAAAATTATTACAAAAAATTATACCATAAGAAAGAAATTTAATCGGAGATTCTAAATACTCACAAAAGAGTCACCTGCAGACGTAATTTGGGGTCTAGTGGAGTTCTTCTACTTCGTTTTTGTAATTTATCTTGCACTCGGTCAAGCAACCAATTAAACTGTTCCGGCCACATTCGAAAATTATAATAAAATTCCTCGTGGTCTTGCGTTTCGATTTCATGCACAAAATTTGTTCGATAACCAAATTGATCTTTCCATCGATTTATAGGGCGAACCCACCATCTTCTTCTTCCATGACTGCGTCTTCGTCTCGATTTTTTCCACAGTTGTATCAAATAATGCAACATGATAACCGAAGCACTTGTAACAATCAATTTGTCGAGTTCCATTTTATTTTAATTAATATCATGTGCCACGTTTAACAAATAAAGATATTTTTTTCATCCTTTTTTACTTCTTTTCTTTTTAGGTTAATGACGCTCGATCCCGCGCTCTTTTCACGTTTGATTGTCGGGATGGCAACGTCACAAACTATAGCATTACTCCACCGTATTGTAGATTGAGTCAGCGTAAACAGCTTACGCCGAAAACGTTACTCCTACTCTTACTTCTTACGCCAAGCTTACTCCACTTATTGTAGACGACGCTTAAAATGTGATAGTACGCGGTACGATTATCGGACAAGTTGGATATATATATATGTGTATAAAAAAAATTCGATGTTTCTTTCGCTCACGAGTCCGGGCGCGTTGATGCTGCGGTGTCGGCTCCTGGCAGGAGGATGATCTTCGTCAGTGGCCGGATGAGCTCCGAAGATGCGGTGCGTATGGTGACCACACGTGTCACGCCGTCGTCCCCAGGATGCAGCCTGATGATCCGGGCGAGTGGCCATCGGGTCGGCGGTGTTATGTCCGACCGCACCAGACATAGAGCGCCGACGGTAGGACTTGGCGGAGTCCTTCAGCCATTTTGGTCGGGAGGCCAAGGAGTTGATATATTCTCGCGACCACCTTTCCCAAAAGTGGTCGCGCATCCGTTGGAGGAGTTTCCAGCGGGGCAAGAGACTGATGTTGCTGTCCGTCAGTGAGGGCTCCGGCACAGCCAGCAGAGGAGCCCCGATCAGGAAGTGTCCCGGTGTGAGTGCCGTTATGTCGTCGTGGTCATCGGATAGTGCCTGAAGAGGACGTGAGTTGAGGCACGCCTCCACTTGAGCGAGGAACGTAGACATCTCCTCGAAGGTGAAGGTCGTGTCTCCGAGGACTCTTCGCAGGTGATGTTTAATGGACTTCACCGCTGCCTCCCAAAGCCCACCGAAGTGAGGTGCTGCCGATGGGTTGAATTTCCACCAGATCCCGTCGGACGCTGCCAGATGAGCGATGCGTCGGCCGTCGGATGACGATGCCTGGAACAGGAGTCGCAGTTCTCGGTCCGCTCCGACAAAATTGATGCCGCAGTCGGAGTAGACTTCCTCGCATAGGCTCCGACGGGAAGTGAAGCGCCGGAACGCAGCGAGGAATGCATCTGTGGAGTAGTCCGACGCGGCTTCCAGGTGAACGGCCTTGGTGGCGAAGCAGATGAAGACGATGATGAATCCCTTGTGTGATTTGTGACCTCTTCCCTTTCCGGTTCGGATGAGAATCGGCCCGGCATAATCAACACCGGTTCGCAGGAATGGACGTGCCGGTGCGACTCGTGCCGTCGGAAGGCTGCTCATCATGGGCTGTGGTACTGCGGCCTTCCATCTCGCATATGTGACACACCGGTGGATGGTTCTCTTGGACGATGGAGCGGCCTCGGGGAATCCAGTACCGCAAGCGAAGCAGTCCTAGAGTGAGCTGAACCCCGCCGTGAAGCGTTCGTCTGTGGCCTGACGAGGAGTTGCGTCATCCATGACTCTGGAGGTAAGATGATCGGATGGCGTTCGTATTCTGAGAGCACAGCGTGCTTCAGCCGACCCCCGACTCGAATGATTCCATGATCGTCGAGGAAGGGGGTTAATTTCGTTAGTTGACTCTTAACCAACGTGTGGTTCTGTTTCAAGGCAGTGATCTCCTTGGAAAAGTGATGAGCTTGCACCACGCGGAGCCAGAGGAGCAAGGCTGCTTCTAACTCGTCGGGCGTGAGGTTGAGGTGAACCTTCGAACTCGGTGGGTTGCTTCGCCATCGGCAACACCAGGCGGTGATCCTCAGGAGGCGATGGAGATCGGAGAACCTGAGGAGCATCTCTGGTTCGGTTTTCTCCGTGGTCGTCAAGTGGGAGGCGATTGCTCTCGTCTCCGGCACCTCGACGTCGTGTGTGGCGTGGTCGTGCTGTGGCCAGAACGATAGATCTTTGGTGAGCCATGGAGGTCCCGTCCACCAGAGGGAATGGTTGAGCAGGTCCCGGGGCTCAATCCCCCGAGAGGCGCAGTTAGCGGGGTTGTCTCGTCCTGGGATGTGTCGCCATCGTGCCTCCGGAAGTTTCGTCTGGATGTGGGACACCCTGTTGGCCACGAAGGTTTTCCACTTCGAGGCGTGTCCTTGGATCCTTGAAGCGTGACCCGGGAGTCCGACCATAGAGTGACTGGAGCTGAAACCAAGTCTAAGGTCTTGCGGAGATGAAAAGTCAGGTTAGTGACCAGGACTGCAGCGCACAATTCTAAGCGCGGTAGTGACACAGGCTTAATGGGCGCAACTTTGCTTTTTGCAGCAAGCAGGCTAGTCGTGGTCGAGGAGGAGCTCATCACGCGGAGGTAAACAACGGCTGCGTAACCTCGCTCCGACGTGTCAGCAAATCCGTGGAGCTCGACGTGATTTGATTGGTTATCGGCACTCAGCCATCGTTCCAACCGGAGCTGTTCCAACAGCGGAAGACCTTCGAGCAAACGTCTCCACAACGCCTTATCCAATTGAGGCAGCGGGGAGTCCAAATCCAAGTGCTTCATCCATGCTGACTAGATGAGGATCTTGGCACGAGCGATGACTGGAGTTAACCAGCCTAAGGGGTCGAAGATTCGAGCCGTCTCCGACAATGTCTGTCTCTTCGTTAGCGGGGCAGTCGTGCGAGGCTGGAGGTGGAACGTGAAGGAGTCGCTGCGGGGGTGCCACCGTAGACCAAGCGTTGGATGAGCTTCGTCCTCTCAGTCGTGGTGTGGCTGCTGGAGTTTATGCTCCCTCGATATCTCCTCGAGGATGCTCTGGTGGTTTGAAGCCCACTTCCTCAAGGGGAACCCGCCCGCCGTGCAGAGCCGGCGTAACTGCCTTTGAATCTCGACTGCTTCGGACAGGGTGCTGGCGCCTGTGACGATGTCGTCGACGTAGCAATCGCGCCGCAAAGCGACTGCTCCCTTGGGGTTTGTCGGCTCTTCATCGTCTAATTGGCGGAGAGTCCTGATCGCCAAGAAAGGTGCACAGGCCAATCCATATGTCACCGTGTTGAGCCGATACTCCTGGACATCATCAGTGCTTTGTCGTCTCCAAAGGATCCGCTGCAGATCTCGATCGTCGGGATGTACGAGAATCTGCCTGTACATCTTCTCGATGTCAGCGATGAAGACAAAGCGGTGCCAACGCCAACGAAGAAGGACGTCGGCGAGAGTTGGCAGAAGGTTGGCTTCGACCAGTAAGGTGTTGAGCGAGTCTCCGGCAGGCGTACATTTTGTAATCCATTGAAGACGACTCTCAACTTGGTGGTCGTGTTGGAAGTCCGGAGTACACCGTGATGCGGTAAGTAGCACACGGAATTGTTTTTGATAAGCGGTATTTTGACCAAAGTTATGTGTTTCAGGTCCGTGTACTCTTCCATGAAGTCGCAATAGAGCTGGTTGAAGTTGGCATCTCTGGAACGGCGTCGCTCCATTGCCGTGAGAAGTCGCTCTGCGGACGTTCGTGTGTAGTCTAGAGGTGGAAGAGGGCCAGCCAGCGGAAGACGCACCATGTATCTTCCGTCTGCGTGGCGCTCATGAGAGCGAGCAAAGATTTCCTCGCATCGTTCTTCGTCTGACGTAAGGGCGACGGAGGCAGGCTGTTCTCATTCTTGCTCCCAGAATCTTTGAACCAGAGCGTTCAAATCGTGGTCGATGGTGCACTGGAGGGAGCTGAGGGAGCCATTGGACGTCACGACTCCGCAGCCTCCTGACAATATCCACCCGAACGTGGTCTGCGCGATGGGTTGGTCCTTGCGAGACCTTTACGGAGACCATCGAGGAGAATGCCGGAGAAGGCATCGGCGCCGAGGAGAAGGTAGATGGGGTGGATGGGGTCTCGTTGAAGGTATTGCGGGTCTGCCAAAGTGAGGCCGTGGATGTGCAACCATGTGGTGGAGCCCTGAATTGTTGGCCCCTGATAGGAAGACAGCCGTGGAAGAACGTATGCAGCTACGGTGAGAGGGGCTCCAGTCACCCTTGACTTTAGAGCGAGTGTTACCCTCCCGCGGGTGGATCCTGAGTGTGCTTCTCCGACTCCAATTGGACATCGAGGAGCGGGTGCGCGCCAGACGGAGGCGCTGCGCTAAGTCCTCCGAGACGAGAGACACCTCGGACCCCTGGTCGAGCAGGGCTCGCACGTCCTGAGGTCGTCCCAGACGGTCGGTGAGAGTGACGCGCGCGGTGGCGAGAAGAGTCGCCTTTTTATCGTGTGAAGTGCGTGTCGTGGAAAAAGTGCTCGCTTCGTGTGGTGTTGGTGTCGTGTACGCGTCGTGCAACAGTGTGTGGTGCCGCGACTTGCACGTGAAACACGTTTTGATGGATTGACACTTTGCCATCAAGTGGTTCCCGAGACAGTTAAAACAAAGTCCGCTAACCTCGACGAATGACTTTCTTTCGCTCGCGGACTTGGACTTGAACTCGGGGCACTGCATTAGTGTGTGTTTGCCCTTGCAAGCGCATTTGGACGCGTCGGGCCCGTTCTTCACGAAGTGAGACTTCGCGGTCCGAGAGGTTTCCCCAGCACTCTTCGTGGCGATCTTGGGTTTCGCGGCGTTCAAGGTAAGAATCCTTTTACTAATAAAGTCTGTGAGTGCCTCGTGAGTCGACGGATCGGGAGAATCGCTGGTGGAAGATTCCCACTCGAGGCGTGTTCGCGATTCGAACAATTCGATCACCAAGTAATTGAGGAGATCCATCCCATGGGAATTGATGGATCTTCCGATACTTTCTTGCGCGTTGACGGTGGCCGTGACGGCGTGATGGACGCGACTTAGCTCTTCGGCGGACTCGGACTTCATTTTTCCGACGGCAGTGAAGGTAGAAAAATTTGATCGCATGAGTTCCTTCTTATTTTCAAAGTGTTTTGCCAAGATCGCCCACGCGTGGTCGTAATTCTCGCTTGTCATCGTTAATGATCGGATTAATTTTTCCGCAGATCCTTTAACGCAGAAGCGAAGGTAATGGAACCGCTCAATGTTCGAGATCGACGGATTCTCTCCGACGAGGGATAAAAAGAGGTCCCGAAAAGAAGGCCAGTCTTCGTAGGCGCCCGAAAACGGCAGCAATTTTATATGCGGCAACGCGGTTTTGGGAGAAGACTCCGACTTCGACTCGATTTTGTGTGCGACAACCGACTCAGCCTTTAATCTGTCAGCGTAGTCGGTCAACGTGCTCCGCTGAGATACGTAAGTACATTCCGCAGTATCGATAAAGTCAGCTTTGGCGTACTCACTCTCCAAATCTATCTTTAAGAGCCGCTCGTATCAGTTCGTGTTGAACCTCGAATTTCGCCCAGAGGTTGTCGAGGATGATGAGGCAAGCCTGGATGGCACCGGCGGTGATGTTGGTGACGCCCATCTTGCGGAGGTTGTCCACGGAGCGAGACATTCGCCCGTGGATGTCGGTTTGAGCCTCTAACAAGGCCTTCAGGTCGGCACTCATTTTGATTGATCTGCTTTGTCTGTCTGTTCAGGAGATTTGCAGCACTGCACAGCACTGAAAACTTCACTCACGAAGCTGCGGATGCGGATAAAAGCTCCGGCTCGAAGGACCAGAAATGTTCGCGAATGAGCGCGGATTGCTGCGACAGCGCAAAGTTTTAAGAAAGCGGCGAACAGACGACCACGAACAGGATATTAAACGCTAAATTAACTGAACACAACATGTAATTTTTTTTGTTTTTTTTTCAGTTTTATTTTTAACACCATATAATTAATAAAAGTTTTACACAAATAAAATGAGTACAATTATTTCAGGTAACGAAATAATTCCGAAGCCGAGAGTGCGAAAGTCCGAGTGAGAAAGCGGTCGTTTTAAAGCGGTTAGACAAAGCGGTTTTGACAAAGCGAAGCGGTTTAGCGAAAATACTGCGAGCAGCGAAAAGTGCGAGACTTAACTGGTCCACGCGCGGTGCCCATTATATAGCGAGCGGATTTTTGGGCCCGCTGCGACGTGAACCAATTAATTTAATCTTTTAGCGGTGACCTCATTGCGGCGCGTGTAGTTGGTTGTTGATGAGGTCTGACGTCGGATATTATTTATTTGTCATGTGCGCAATCTTTTTAGATCAGCTGATTGGCGATCAGCTGATCGTGACGCATGGGCGCGCATGCCCATGAGCTGCTAAAATTCAACGACGGTTGACAATAATATTATTCGCAGCGATGATGAGCGTTTTTTCCGATGACAAAAAAAGAAAGATAACTCGAACATTCGAATTTTTCTAATAAATAGATATTTTGAGAAGATTCTCAACGCCCGTTAATTTTAAATTTTCGAACATTTAATAGCGAAAATATGCGAGTTTCGCTATGCAAATTTTAATCTGGAATGATTATTTTAAATTTTGAACAAGTACTGTCAAGCATTGGCATGCTACTGATAGTATTCCTTTCCTAATCAGCATAAAGAAAATTTGCAATAACTTATCATTTCATTCTGGCAAGCGTCAAGATAATTATTAATTAAAATTATACAGCTCTCATCCGTTAAGCGTCGAAGACCTCCCTCCTTAGGATCTCTCCTGGCATCCTTTGTCATGCCGGAGTCGTCCGCACTCTCCTATTTTTATTTTAAAAAGGTTCATTACTAAATCTAAGCGACCCTAGATTTCCTTCGTCTCCGGGCATCCTCTGTCATGCCGGAGACATCCAACTTCCCAAACTAATTCATTACCCGGCGCTCTACGGAATATATGTACATATATATATATATAAATAAATAAATAAATATATATATATATATATATATATATATATATATATGAAATTTAGATTATATAATCTATTGTTATCAACTCAAACGTCTTTCCTTACACAGGGATATAGCATCTTCTCAGTGCAGCCCGAAAACCTTCTTGTTCTTTCACCCTTTTTCGGTCACATCAGAGCATCCTTACTCTTATGCAACTCCGTCATCCTAACGTTACTCCATCTTAAAAGTCCCGTCGTCTCCGGGCATCCTCTGTCATGCCGGAGACATCCATATCCTTGTAAATTATTGACGTTTTAGTTGGACTAAATTTAAAAAAAAAATATATCTTTTTTTCTTTATTGCACAATTCAATCACTTGAGCTGACACTAATCAGATAATAACATCAACAAAAGTAAATATCCACTAATTTCCTCAATCAATGGTGAACTCACAATTAAACTATAAAAGGAAAAGGCATAGAGCAGGTAAAATAACCAGAGAATATCGCGATATCTCTCGATTCCGTCGAAATCAAAGAATAAAAGCAAACTCGAATCCTAGTTACGTCAAATCAGATAGAAGGGTTCTCTTCCCTGAAAATTTTATATACGCTCTAAAAAACAAGGCTAAATTTCTCTTTTATTTACCACTAAATTTTATTTCACAAAAATTTTGTCAATCGATTACTACAAACGTAGAGTTTGACTCTTTCTATGACTATTACTTAGAGATCATCAAATATAAGGATATTACTGAAAGCCCATCCTCAGAACAGGGAGATCTAATAACTCAATTAAAATATCAGCTATCGGAAAGCCAGTATGAAATAGAGAATTACTTACAGACTCTCCAATGAAACCTTCTTGCAATGATAAAGATTTTTTCACACTAACAACCAACGAACAAACTCAAATCCTCGAAATATTATTAGAATTCATAGATCAATATATCTCAGGTGATATTGATATCGACCAATTAATGGAATTAATAGAGAATTTTGAAATTCCATTCTAATAGATATTTATTATACACGTATATAATCTCATCTTACTCAATCAACTTATCATATCTTAAAGTTTCGCGGCTTCTCAATTTTTTCCGTTTTCGATAAGTCAGATCCTTGCTCTCGGCATCCCCAAGGTATAGCCGGTGTAAGCAGGTTGCCTTAAAAATAAAGAGAGCGCAATTTACTCTAGAATCGAGGTATCTGGGGGAAAAGTAAGTCACTGAGACGTGACACCCGAAAATGTTAAACTCTTCACAATTTTGCGTTTCATCCTTGCCCCGGGGTCAAGCTAATCTTCTCTGTATTGTTCCAACTTTATATGCCGAAGCAAGTACATGTTGCTGCGCCACATCGTTCTTGGCCATGTTTGCTCGGCCGATCGTCCACGTGGAAACGACATTCGACTATTTGGTATTTGACTAATTATGTCCATCCAAGATCCTAAAAGTTCCTTCTAACTTTAATTCATCGCAGTTCGACAATGACGTATCAAATTTACGTTCTGAATTCGACGTGCCTTGCCTTCGTGACGAAGACAGCGTGTTCGCGAATGAATAGAATTGTGCGGGAGGCACGACAAGAAGAATTTGTTTTAAAGACACCACAAGATTGAAATCAACGACGAACCACGCCACGTATATTTTTTTCTGATTTTTTAAAAGTTTTATTTGTAACGCCACACAGTTAATTATTAAAGTTATAGACAAATAAAATTGTTACGTCCAGTGGACTTCACGATTCTTTTCTTTCATGGAAACGCTATCTAAGAAGTAATTAAAGATAGGGCTCGAAATTGAAATAAGCAAACGGAACCTAACTCGCGTAAATAAATAGTAAGTCTAAACACTGAGAGTGGCCAGTCGAGATAGCGCTAAAGAAAATCTAAACAAATTTTTGAATTATGAGACTCGGAAGTATATGAAATTCAAACCATTCGTATCCATGGTTATAACTTGGTTCATCTTAGAGATTTTAAACAAAGAGCCGGTGGTCCCCGAGAAATTGACCAGAGGTAAACATAAATTGATATTGCACGTGCGTTCGTTCGACAGGCCATTCTCAATCATCAAGCAATAAGATAATCAGCTCATCGCTCCCACTCTCTATTGGATGGAGTTAAATCTCGAGCAAAAGGGCTTAACCAATTAAAACCTTAAGATACTCCTCTCTTACTAAAAATCTAACTCCTTGGCCCTAGGAATGGAGTAATAGAAATCATTTGATTCGATTTTCAAAGATTCCCACCATCCAGAAGGGAGGAGAAGCAAAAACTTTAAAATTCACGAGCCAAGAGCGCGGATATACAGTTAGTCTCAGAATTTTTTCTGGTTATTCTTCTCCGCACAGTCAGAGTTACGGTTTAATAGAGTTACGAACCAATCAGTTACAAATTGCAAATCAGTGACGTTCCCTGAAAAAGGGCAGCGTGACCCCTCTCAGTCTTCTCTCTGATCAGACTATGAATACCGGCCTCTAACCCGCTTCGAACTCTCGGTGGAAACTTAGTCTATGATAATAGCTGCGTTCAGCAAAAAAGCTGGTTTACAACTGTTGTGAAATTCGTGAGTTGCTAATTTTGTATGTACATATATGTGAGCTGAAGCAAGTGGTGCACGTGGTACGTGGTGCTGCGTCACATCCTTCTTGGCCTTCTTGGCTCCTCGGCCAAGTTGTTGTTTGCTCGGACGGTCGTCCGCGTGGCAACGACATTCGACTATTTGGTATTTGACTAATTATGTCCATCCAAGATCCTAAAAGTTCCTCCTAACTTTAATTCATCGCAGTTCGACAATGACGTATCAAATTTACGTTCTGAATTCGACGTGCCTTGCCCTCGTGACGAAGACAGCGTGTTCGCGAATGAATAGAATTGTGCGGGAGACACGACAAGAAGAATTTGTTTTAAAGACACCACAAGATTGAAATCAACGACGAACCACGACACGTATATTTTTTTGTGATTTTTTAAGAGTTTTATTTGTAACGCCACACAGTTAATTATTAAAGTTTTACACAAATAAAATTGTTACGTCCAGTGGACTTCACGATTCTTTTCTTTCATGGAAACGCTATCTAAGAAGTAATTAAAGATAGGGCTCGAAATTGAAATAAGCAAACGGAACCTAACTCGCGTAAACAAATAGAAAGTCTAAACACTGAGAGTGGCCAGTCGAGATAGCGCTAAAGAAAATCTAAACAAATTTTGAATTATGAGACTCGGAAGTATATGAAATTCAAACCGTATCCATGGAAATTCACTCGTATCCATGGTTATAACTTGGTTCATCTTAGAGATTTTAAACAAAGAGCCGGTGGTCCCCGAGAAATTGATTAGAGGTAAACATAAATTGATATTGCACGTGCGTTCGTTCGACAGGCCATTCTCAATCATCAAGCCATAAGATAATCAGCTCATCGCTCCCACTCTCTATTGGATGGAGCTAAATCTCGCGCAAAAGGGCTTAACCAATTAAAACCTTAAGACACTCCTCTCTTACTGAAAATCTAACTCCTTGGCTCTAGGAAGGGAGTAATAGAAATCATTTGAATCGATTTTCAAAGATTCCCACCATCCAGAAGGGAGGGGAAGCAAAAACTTTAAAATTCACGAGCCAAGAGCGCGGATATACAGTTAATCTCAAAATTTTTTCTGGTTATTCTTCTCCGCACAGTCAGAGTTACGGTTTAATAGAGTTACGAACCAATCAGTTACAAATTGCAAATCAGTGACGTTCCCTGAAAAAGGGCAGCGTGACCCCTTTCAGTCTTCTCTCTGATCAGACTATGAATACCGGCCTCTGACCCGCTTCGAACTCTCGGTGGAAACTTAGTCTATGATAATAGCTGAGTTCAGCAAAAAAGCTGGTTTACAACTGTTGTGAAATTCGTGAGTTGCTAATTTTGTATGTACATATATGTGAGCTGAAGCAAGTGGTGCACGTGGTACGTGGTGCTGCGCCACATCCTTCTTGGCCTTCTTGGCTCCTCGGCCAAGTTGTTGTTTGCTCGGACGGTCGTCCGCGTGGCAACGACATTCGACTATTTGGTATTTGACTAATTATGTCCATCCAAGATCCTAAAAGTTCCTCCTAACTTTAATTCATCGCAGTTCGACAATGACGTATCAAATTTACGTTCTGAATTCGACGTGCCTTGCCCTCGTGACGAAGACAGCGTGTTCGCGAATGAATAGAATTGTGCGGGAGGCACGACAAGAAGAATTTGTTTTAAAGACACCACAAGATTGAAATCAACGACGAACCACGCCACGTATATTTTTTTCTGATTTTTTAAAAGTTTTATTTGTAACGCCACACAGTTAATTATTAAAGTTATAGACAAATAAAATTGTTACGTCCAGTGGACTTCACGATTCTTTTCTTTCATGGAAACGCTATCTAAGAAGTAATTAAAGATAGGGCTCGAAATTGAAATAAGCAAACGGAACCTAACTCGCGTAAATAAATAGTAAGTCTAAACACTGAGAGTGGCCAGTCGAGATAGCGCTAAAGAAAATCTAAACAAATTTTTGAATTATGAGACTCGGAAGTATATGAAATTCAAACCATTCGTATCCATGGTTATAACTTGGTTCATCTTAGAGATTTTAAACAAAGAGCCGGTCGTCCCCGAGAAATTGACCAGAGGTAAACATAAATTGATATTGCACGTGCGTTCGTTCGACAGGCCATTCTCAATCATCAAGCCATAAGATAATCAGCTCATCGCTCCCACTCTCTATTGGATGGAGCTAAATCTCGCGCAAAAGGGCTTAACCAATTAAAACCTTAAGATACTCCTCTCTTACTGAAAATCTAACTCCTTGGCCCTAGGAAGGGAGTAATAGAAATCATTTGATTCGATTTTCAAAGATTCCCACCATCCAGAAGGGAGGAGAAGCAAAAACTTTAAAATTCACGAGCCAAGAGCGCGGATATACAGTTAGTCTCAGAATTTTTTCTGGTTATTCTTCTCCGCACAGTCAGAGTTACGGTTTAATAGAGTTACGAACCAATCAGTTACAAATTGCAAATCAGTGACGTTCCCTGAAAAAGGGCAGCGTGACCCCTCTCAGTCTACTCTCTAATCAGACTACGAATACCGGCCTCTGACCCGCTTCGAACTCTCGGTGGAAACTTAGTCTATGATAATAGCTGAGTTCAGCAAAAAAGCTGGTTTACAACTGTTGTGAAATTCGTGAGTTGCTAATTTTGTATGTACATATATGTGAGCTGAAGCAAGTGGTGCACGTGGTACGTGGTGCTGCGCCACATCCTTCTTGGCCTTCTTGGCTCCTTGGCCAAGTTGTTGTTTGCTCGGACGGTCGTCCGCGTGGCAACGACATTCGACTATTTGGTATTTGACTAATTATGTCCATCCAAGATCCTAAAAGTTCCGCCTAACTTTAATTCATCGCAGTTCGACAATGACGTATCAAATTTACGTTCTGAATTCGACGTGCCTTGCCCTCGTGACGAAGACAGCGTGTTCGCGAATGAATAGAATTGTGCGGGAGGCACGACAAGAAGAATTTGTTTTAAAGACACCACAAGATTGAAATCAACGACGAACCACGACACGTATATTTTTTTGTGATTTTTTAAGAGTTTTATTTGTAACGCCACACAGTTAATTATTAAAGTTTTACACAAATAAAATTGTTACGTCCAGTGGACTTCACGATTCTTTTCTTTCATGGAAACGCTATCTAAGAAGTAATTAAAGATAGGGCTCGAAATTGAAATAAGCAAACGGAACCTAACTCGCGTAAATAAATAGAAAGTCTAAACACTGAGAGTGGCCAGTCGAGATAGCGCTAAAGAAAATCTAAACAAATTTTTGAATTATGAGACTCGGAAGTATATGAAATTCAAACCACTCGTATCCATGGTTATAACTTGGTTCATCTTAGAGATTTTAAACAAAGAGCCGGTGGTCCCCGAGAAATTGACCAGAGGTAAACATAAATTGATATTGCACGTGCGTTCGTTCGACAGGCCATTCTCAATCATCAAGCCATAAGATAATCAGCTCATCGCTCCCACTCTCTATTGGATGGAGCTAAATCTCGCGCAAAAGGGCTTAACCAATTAAAACCTTAAGACACTCCTCTCTTACTGAAAATCTAACTCCTTGGCCCTAGGAAGGGAGTAATAGAAATCATTTGATTCGATTTTCAAAGATTCCCACCATCCAGAAGGGAGGAGAAGCAAAAACTTTAAAATTCACGAGCCAAGAGCGCGGATATACAGTTATTCTCAGAATTTTTTCTGGTTATTCTTCTCCGCACAGTCAGAGTTACGGTTTAATAGAGTTACGAACCAATCAGTTAC